AAAATCACTGTTTGAAGCAAGAGAGATGATGAGAGATGCCAGCGGCAAAGAATTCAAGAACACAAGAACTGGAGCAAACAACATTTTGCCAGCTTTGACAGCACTCAACGCTGCGAATTGCTCTAAGCATCTATGCTTGAATATGGTTAATTAGCACACGCTCTGAAACAATCCACTCCCCTGGTCGGATTGGCATTGGGAAGCTACGACGTGTGAAAACTAGGATCCCAGGCTTTTTACAGAATGCTAGGCAACTGAACGCTTAGCGCTCAAAACTGAACGCTTAGCGCTCAAGCAAAGAAATCTCGGTTCAGACGCAATGTCTCGCAGGCCGCTCTTGCATTGTCATCGGCTTGAACTTGCTGCCACGTCAAGCCCTTGTATTGGTCCTTGTGGTTGCCCTTCTTGTTCCGGTCCTTCTTTTGAAGCAATCCATGGTTGGTCAAAACACCGGCTTGCTCAGTGACCAGTGCTGAGAAGTTCTGCAATTTCCTGAATGGCCCCTTGCTGCGCAATTTGTTGCTGATCTGGGACGCAGGAAGGAAGTCCGCGCATCCGCGGCAATGCTGCAGGATTGCCTTCTTCAACGCGTCCGAAGAGCTAGGTGCTTCTGGTCGGTCCTCTTCCGGATGTTGTGCATTTTGAAATTCCTCCGCCAGAGGGTTGCGATTGCGATCAGGATACTCTGCGCCAGCCGTTGATGTTGCACCTTGCACAAAGCGGTAGTAGCCGGCGTGGAGCTCGAGCGATCTGAGCCAACAGCGGACTCCGCACATGAGTTCATGTGGAGAAATTTTCACGCGTTTGGAGTCGGCCAAGTCGTGCTTGTTGAGTTTCGCAAGGCTTTGAACCATGCGCATCGTCGGCAAGGCAGACCGGAGGATGTCATTCTTGGCAAACAGAATTTTCATCAGGAACCATTTGCAAGTCTTGTTTTTCGCGGACTTGCGCTTTTCTATCCAAAGTTTGATGGCGTTCAGGATTGTTCGAAGAAGACCAAGAGCGACCCCATCGCAGTACACAAAGGAAGGGCAATGATAAGGGCCTTGGAACATGAAGTCATGAGTGGCCTGCCACAATCCAAAGGAGAGACTACAATTGATATCTTCGTCTTGTGGGCTGCTATCAGGCATGATGGAGAAAGAGATGCGCTTGAAGAATGCTTGCGGTGTCATTTTCATGCACCATTCCACTGCCTCATATTGCCCAAGCATTTTGAGCTGGAAGCGGTACTGCCGCAAGTGGATCATGCCGACTCCAGTCATCACATCATCTCGCTCGCCCTGGGTCCATGTACAAAGCTTTGATCTGCTGAGCATGTGGCTGGCTGATTGCTGTGGATCAGCCCATGGTGTTGGCAAAGCTGTGATGATTTCATCGGTGCTCGCTGACACCCGTTTGTGGCTGAGGATACATGCCCTGACGCCTTTGAAGGTCGCTTCCACCATGTACACGGCATTCTTCTTGATGCAGTCGGGAGCGAATTTGGACCGAAGCACCAAATCCTGGAAAGAGGGACAACAAAACACTGGCAAAAAAGATTGGCAAGGTTGCCCTAGCATCATGACCGAAACATATTGTCAAAAAAATCAAAGCTGGCCCCCATGCATCGCCAAGGCGCATTGGTCAACTCACTCATGAAGGATTTGCGGGCAGAGGCTGAACCGGCAGCCATGACTGCTTTATCTGTGCCGATGGTGTGGCACGAGGGCTTCAAGTTGAGTTCGAGCGGAACCTGTGGAGCGGCTGCATCCATGGGTTTTTTCAGCTCCAGCTCTGCCATGTGTTCCAGAACCGCGGCCCGCACGACCTTTTGCTCATTGTCAAGCATAGGCCGCCCAAAATGCGTGGCTGCTGCAGCAAGATACTCCGCAAGCGTGTTGTGAGTGGTGGACTTGACAAACGCTGCTGCGGCTTCTTCGAAGCTATGAGAATCCTGCTCAGCTTGCTGCTGCTCCGGCTGGCTTGTGTGTTTTGCTCTTCTGGCCTTCTTCCTGGCACTCTTTTCGTCTAGAATGTCAGAAAGGTCATCTTGAGGCTCAGGCTCAAGAATGGTGGCCAAAACGTCCAAGCCAGGAGGAGGCGGGTCAGAACCCAAGCGGCTTGTGTGATGCTCGAGCCACGTCAAGTTGCTGTGGATGAGGAGGAGGAAGGTTTCCGGGTGTAACCCATTTTTTAAGCACAAGGCTTTGGCGGCCTCAATGTGTGGGAGTGGAGCCATACCAGAGATGGAGAAATCATAGCGCATGGCCAGCTCGCGGTGAGTGCGCTTGTCTGCCACCATAGCGTCCAGGAGATTGTGCATGGTCTTCTCAATGGTCGCCTCATCGCTGAAGCCATCAAATAGATCCGGTGGGAAGGTTGCCTTGGCGAATTCCTGGATCGTCTCCGCAGACATCACCTTGTCGCAAAAAGCTTCAGCCGGGTCCCTATCCGATTTCAAGGCAGCTGCAACGGTGGCATCCGGCAGGCTGAAACCAAAGTCCGCGTCTTGCACAATGTGTTCGTCATGCGGAGTGGACAGCTGGGAATTTGGAAGGTCTTGTGTTCCTGGGGATCTTTCAGCTTCAAGATGCATTGGACCCGCTTGAGAGGGCTGAGTTGCTGGCACTTCTTTCTGCGTAGCCACATGAACCGCAGGGGCACAAATGCACCGGCAGGTCGGACATGTGACACTAGCCTCCCAATTTCGTAGCTTGCACAACCTGCGGCAACAATCCTGATGCATCATGTGTCCACATTCTAAGTCCAGCCGGATCTCACCCTCCGCAAACTCTAGGGTGCACACTGCGCACGCCATAGCTGGAGAGAATGTTCAACTAAGGAGCGGCGCCAAAGTACAAATCCGTAGTTCATATTGTCATGTGGTAGCGTATCTGCTCATGGATATTGAAACATGCTTTGACTCATGGACTACCATGTCACCATGTCTATAGATTCCAGGACCTAAACTTTCTGAGCCAGGAGCAGTGCACCATTATTGACTCAACTGAGTTCGTGATGAGGGGCTGGGCCGTGCCCTGTCCCCGACGCTGGGCCGTGCCCTGTACTGCCTGCTGGGCCGTGCCCTGCTGGCGAATGGCATCCATGCTCGCGTTACGCGCAGGCGCCGAAAGGGAGGGTACCGGCATTGAGAGGGAAAAGGGAAGCGATGCGTCGGATAAACAAAGGGAGGCTACGGGAGCGGATAGGAAGACTCTTATTGCGGAATGTCGTGATGAGGGGCTGGGCCGTGCCCTGTCCCCGACGCTGGGCCGTGCCCTGTACTGCCTGCTGGGCCGTGCCCTGCTGGCGAATGGCATCCATGCTCGCGTTACGCGCAGGCGCCGAAAGGGAGGGTACCGGCATTGAGAGGGAAAAGGAAAGAGATGCGTCGGATAAACAAAGAGAGGCTACGGGAGCGGATAGGAAGACTCTTATTGCGGAATGTCAAGCTATGAGCGCGTCCACCAGGGACCATCACATGGCTGTCTGGTAGCATGAAACTAAGGCGCGGTGCCTGAACGATCATCTTCACAACATTATTCCTGTACTCTGGCGCAAGATCAGGCTTGAGCAACACGCGGCACGGATGAACGTACTTGAATGTACAATATACCAGGTACCAATCTTCTTTTCTGCTGCTTCTTGCAAAGTTTTCATCAATCGATCGATATTTGTCTTTCCCACCTGTGCCTGTGCCTCATGCATCAACTGGCTGGCAACCAAACTGCCTTGGGAGCGTGGGATCGCCTGGCAAGGCGAGCCGACGTGGGCCCCAAATGTTGCAAAGAAGCAAACGATGCAAGCAAGCGCACATCCTGAGGAGCTGCTCTTTCTGCGGCACCTGACATGCGAAACCCACAAACACAGCCAACAGCTTCTTGCAAGAGTGTGGTCAAGAAATGATGCTCAGAACAGAACGGGGCCTAGCGATGGGTCCTGACCAGGCACTGAGTCTGCAGCTGGATCCTCAGGGAGCAAAAGAATGAGTGTCATTCTGCAACTACGTTTACGCAGCGTTTACAGAACAGTGACCAGAACACAGCACTCAAGTGCGTACGGTACATCAAATCCAGCAGTGAAGCAGTGAAAAATCCAACAGCTGGCAACGACCCTCTGCCCAAGTCTGATGTGGTTCGCTGGAAATTGGGGAATGTACACTGCCAGTCACCTAGAGGCTGTTCTGACATGCCAGGTCGCATGTTCAGCTGGAACACAGTGATTGATGACTGGAACACCTTCCTCCAAAGCTCTGCCACTTTGAAAGCATTGACGGACATGGCTTTCACACACTGAAAATGAATAAGCGTTGACTAGGAAAGGTGTGTCTAGACGTTTAGAAATTGCATGGTTGAATTTGCTTGCTGAAAAGGAAAGGCGACTTTGCTTGCTGAAAAGGAAAGGCGACTTTGCTTGCTGAAAGTGAATGTCTGGCTGTGTGGCCTAGTGACAGAGGCCAACCACTTGCTGTGAGCCTATATACGTATAGTCCTTGGGAAAATCGACTTGGAATTGGTAGGTTGAAACTAACATGCCACTTTCAGCAAACTCAAAAAAAATCGAAAAATGGAAACTAGGAAATATGTGGTAAATATATCATCCAGATTGTTGAGAGAAATTGTCTTGATAATATAATGTTTCTTTTTATGGTTCTTTAGAGAGGTATCACTGTTCTGAAGTAACTGTTATTGTTCAGGAATACCTGTGGTGGTGTCGTCGTACCCTCTTTATTCAGGGGTCATCGGATCTGGCCAACGCTGGTCAAGTAGCTTGTCACGTCCACCGACGAAAAAAGAACACAAAGACAGGCAAGCATGTGTGTATGTCTGTATGCGCGAAAAGAATCCGTGCGAACCGGTGCGAACCGGTGCGAACCGGTGCGAACCGGTGCGCATCAAATACCGGACGCGCGCGATGTTACAATGATGGGAAAACTCACTATAAATGGCCATTTTCAATAGCTTTTTGTATGTTTACCAGAGGGTAATCTGTTGCTTCACCATGTGAATCACCGGGTCTCACCCGGAGCCCAGTTCCCCCGAGCCCGCCGTGGGCGAGGCGTCGCTGCCAGCGCTCAGCCAGGCGTCCACGGGGACGCGGCTCACCTCCTCCGACCTGCGGCTGCGACGGCCGAAACATGGTGGATTTCATGGGGGGTTACCCTCTGGTTATGACTAACATAGCCATGGAAAATCACCATCTATAAATGGGCCATCTATACCATGGCTATGTTAAATAACCAAAGGGTAATATGGTTTAAACAATTGGAAAAATGTGATCGTTTAGTATGTTTAGATGGGATTGAACCATCAACAAACAGGGTTGTTTTCATGGGATTTCATGGCAAGTTCATGGGGTTTGATTGGGGTTATAGTGGGGACAGAGATGGGATATGAGGCATGAGGGGATTTTGTCAATGGATGTTTTTGAAGAGCTGTAGGGATATAGACCATGAAATTTGGGGACCACCACCAGGAAATTCAAACAAATCCATCTGGATAAATTACAACAATTTACACATGTCACAAATCTGAAAGGCTGTTTTGGGATAAGTACCCCAATCCTTAAAAGCATTAGCTAATGAAAATCATTGGATTATAGCTTATAACTTATTATAACTTTCCAAGTGATTATTTACATTGGACGGTTAGGATATAACACACCAATGGGAATAGCAACGCTTTTTGCTGTGATTACTCAGTGTTTCAAACCAAATTGCTGATAAACCCATAGGTCATAAACCAAGCAATGGTAAACTATAATCCATACTAATTAATTGTTGGTAAAATAAATAACTCATACAATAATATAAAATAATATAAAATATACGAATATAATAGTACAATATACGAATATAATAGTACAATAGTACATCATCTTTCCATTTTTCTTTAAGAAACGGGACTCTGCGACCCTGGTGGCCGGCAGGCGCCCAGGCGCCTGCGCGGCGAAGCGGCTGGATCCGCCAGAGCCTGCATCTCTTCGTGATCTGCACGGCCGAGTTTCCTGGGAGCGAAACATGAAGATTTCTCCAAAGAAGCTGGGATGTAATGGGGGTATGCCAGGAGATACAAATGTCATATAGATGTCAAACAATTGTCAAACCATACAAAGGTATATAATAAGGACATAAGGATATAACATGTGTTTATGAACTGGTTCATTTGCGGACTTGCATGTGTTGGATTTGAAAGACTTGCTAGCTATAGATGTTTTATTGATGTTTTAGATGTATATGTTACATATGCCCTATTCGTTGGTATTCACCAAGAAAACATGCGTGGTTCATCGCCATCGCCGAGCGCCAGGCGAGGGTCATCATCCCAGCCGACGGAACGGAACATCACCAGCCACTTCTACCCGGAAAAAAAAAGCCATAGACGTCCGTTTTTTTGAGATTATGACTAAGCCGTTTCTTTTTAGGCGATATGAACCAATGTCTGCCCCATTTCTGCTGCTATGAAACATGTCAATAGTATAGTCGATATCTCTTTCCGGTTTGTAGTTTCAACCGATTCCCAAAAAATGATCCATTCAAATCATCATCCCAAGTACGCGAAGTAATTGAAACCATCCACCAGCCATAGCATATTATACATATTGTAATATATATTATGATGATGATTATTGCTATTATCATTATTCTTAGTATGATTTTGTATGATTATGAGAGTTTGCTATTATTATTGTTATTACTATTATTATTATAATTATATTCATATGGTCGGACTATTATATGACCCCATGTCCTGGTTGTTTAAGGTGACACTCCACGGGATTTGCGGGGTAATAGCCTGTAGCTTCCTAGTGGGCGGTCGTAGCCCAAAGTCCAAGAAAAAAGCCACTATCATAGTTTTGCGGCGTTCAAACTGACTTCAAACTGACAAATCTTGGGAAGTACATATATATATATATACACATAGTAACAGTAAGCCCCAGAAAATAGAGAAGTCAACTCATGTCAACTCACATAAATATACTGATAGTTTACTTTTCAATTTGGCATTTTGCCCATACGTACACACATTAGCATTATATTGATATCATATTACCCTCTGGTAGATTAGCGTAGCGAACTGGACAATCACCATTTTCGATCGGTAAATCGTGATGTTGATCATCTATTTCTATGGGCCATGGCTTTCATATGTTCAAAAACTAGTGGGGTTAAATCATGATAAACCCCATTAAATCCTATTGATGGTTAAACATGCTAAAACCTTCATTTTTGCTGATTACATCCCATGGCTGTCATGAGAAATCTCCACCCTTCACCACCCAGCTCCTGGCGCGCACCCGCCGCGGCGAGGCGTTGCCGTTGGGAACGGCCGTCTCGCGGCGCCGGAGGCTGTAGGCCCGCAGCAGATTGCGGGCCACCTGGGAGAATGGAGGCTTTTTCTGGAAACTTGATGGAGATTGAATGGGATTTCACTTGATTTCACCATCAACTGCGCTTTACAGATATGGTTTTTCTGGGATGATTTAGCGGGAATTCGTAGGATTTCATGGGGATTCAATGGGATTTCACCACCAACAATTAGGGATCCCCATCCTCAACTGCCGATTTAAGGCATCAGTTCTGCATCTTTTCAGATTTTTGCTGGTTAAATCCCCATTGTTGTTGTGGATGCAATCCCAATTGTTGGTTCAATGCCGATTGTTCAACATGTTTTTTATAGTTCAACACCCAGGTGTTGCACATTTTTGGGGTTAAATCCCCATCATCATTTTTTAAACAGTGACCAATCTCAAGAAAATGCGGTTAAATCATGTTGAGCCCCAATCCCAGTTCAATTTCATTCAACACTTAAATCCCCAATCAAACCCTAGTTTCAATGGCGAAATAATTTTATAGTTTTACTATTTTATCAAGCAACGTTTTAATGGTGAAATAATCCCCATGTTCAACGGTCTGGATAAATAATATAATTCACCAACCTGAAAAGTTTGGCAATAATAGTTACCCCTGGCCCTACCAATCATCATTCCGGCGCCTTTGCAGTGAGGTCGCAACATAATTTAAGCAAATTTACATACGTATCCATCTATATATATATAATATATATATATATGTATTTATAGAAAGAGAGAGAAAGAGAGTGAGAGTGACTAGCGTCACATCCCCATATTCAACATGCTAAATTGTCCAAAACCCAATCAACCAGTTTAAATATATGTCCGTTCAATGGTTAAATTCCCCAACACCAAGTCAAATGGTTTTAATAAACATGTTCACATGTTGAATGCTTAAAAGTCCCATGTTTCATGGGAAAAAATCCCCCATCAGCACGCGCGCCCAGGCACCAAACAGAGCCCTAACAGAATCAGCAGCAGCGATAGGACGACCAGGAGGCTACGATCAGCATCCTGGTGATTCCAACAGGATTTTCATGGTGCTCATGGACTATCCATGGAATATCATGGACAAACGGTTTTCTTAGCACATTTTTTTCGTATCCTACAGTTGAATGGAATATCAATGATAATATCTTATTGTGACATAATATCTTATAATTATATATGTATTACTAGTGTTTTACCGGGACTTTTTCCACCATTAATTGTGATCTAGTCGGGTGCCAATGCAATTCCATGGAAACAAATATCATAGGACTTATGATCTTGACGTTAGATACAATAGATGTCGTTTTAGATTAATATGTGATATGAATCTAATGTTTTTTGGGATGTTCTGGCATTAGATGTTATCAAACATACCAGCTCAATTAGATCATTATAACATGTCTTGCAAATTTGATAACATCCGATAATATCATCCCCACTGTGTACGGGTTGCCTACTGGAAAAGCCATGGTGTTCACCTTCACTTTGAATAATTTCCGAGCTGAGTTAGCGGTGGGTCGGTTCATGTTTTGGGCCCGGTTATAACTCTCTTAAACATGTAACATGTAGTAACTTGCGCCTTCAAAATTCTGACCAGGAACCAACATTTTTCCACCAGAGTAGCTAAACAAAATGTAATGTTGGTAAAACAATAATAAACCATCCCCCAAATCACAATTTTTATAGGTGGTATGTTTACCATTCCCAGTCATGGGTGGTTTATGGCATTGTTGTACCCACATGAACCATCATGAACTATCAGTAACCATCATGAACCATCATTGATCAACCATTCTTAACCATCATTACCCCCTGGTAAACGTTTACATAACTATGTAAAATCACCATTTTTAGTGGGTAAGTCCACTATAAATGGCCATTTTCAATAGTTTTTTGTCAGTTTACCAGGGGGTAACCATTAACGATTATAGTACTAACCAAGTGGTTACTATCCACCCCAGCAGATCTCTCAAGCCCAGCCGCCGCTGGCGACCGTCCAGTGGGACCAGCATTTCCTGATCTTCGCCGACGCTGGAGAGATCAAAGTGGGAATGTCCAAAGAATATCTATCTCTATCTCTGTCTATATATATAATGTATGTATGCATATATATATATAATATGTATTTAATAAATAAATATATATATATATATATAATATGTATATATAATATATATATAGTATATATGTTATGTATCTAGATAATGTACCAGTATGAGGTTATGAGTATCTTCCGAGTCAATTAGGACTTCTGATACGTTATGTGAGCTCACGGTTGGTTGATGTTGGTTGTGATTTGTTCCATCCCATGTGGGGAGACTTAACCCGGCACAACCCCCGCAATGATGGGACCTTGCAATGGAAGTAGTACGAGATACTTCTCTGAACGTGCACATGCCCATACGTTGAATTGATGGGTACATTCTATCAAACCTCAGATGTGCAGAAACTTTGGAGTTGATTGGTTTCATACGCCCTCCCTTGACCCAAGAAACGAGTGTACGAATGGGTCGAGCGGTCGAGCGGAAAAGTGGCTTCTCAGGAGACAAGTGCTGATGTACCCTCTGGTAATTTAGCATAGCTATGGAAAATCAACATATTAAACAAGTAAATACCCGTAAACTAACATAGCTATGGAAAATCCCCATGTCTAATAGGTAAATCAACTATAAATATCTATAAATGACCATGTTCAATAGTTATGTTGAATTACCAGAGGGTAATCCAACTCAATGGGCCATTAAAATTGCAGGATGGTACTTTTGATCCTACGAGTCGGTAGTTTCTTTCTCATGCTGAGAGTATGGCCAAACATGTGGCATCAATGGGCCAGCACAATTAATAATGCTTAGCACTAAATTATCCCTGTTTGGGTGGCATAATCATTTTGACACCTGGGTATCCCCTTCTATATCCATATATCCATGGTATCCATCTATATTTGTATATATACAACCCTATTTTATCCCAAGATACCATTTTCCGTCGTACCCAAGTTTATAGCATTATTTATCCATCATACCCCATCATATCGCAATATGTTCCGCTATGTATTAACTTTATCCCTTCGAAATATAGAATCCCCCCGTTTCATATTAAATACCCCGCAAACAAAACCTTGGCAGAATGTGTTGGATCTATTCATGTAATATTAGGGGAACCGGATTAGTATCAATCCAATTGTATTGAACCCATCAAACCAAATCCCATTATACATCCATCATACTCCCTTTTATCCCATTACAGTATGTATGCATACATGTATATATATATTAGTATAATTATGTGCATATTATATATTGATTTGTTGATTTGAGATCCACATAATCTTACAAACCATATATAATGATTCCTTTCCATCTACTATCCATCTATAATTAATCATCTACATATACAGAAAACACATACATATACATAATCATTATGAAATCATTCTACAAATACATGCATATATGATTATATGTAACATATAATAGAATCACATCAAATACACTAAAATATCCAATATATGGCATTATATCCATCATCCATTCTACCTGGAGGTGTCCTAAAATGGGGATACCCAATTTCATCATCCATTTATAATGTCAACCCTGGATTAATAAACCCCTAGGCTGTTTAATTGGGAGGGTACCATTTAAGGATTATTGGAGGAGTTACCCCCTTATTAATAAACCATGGTTTATTAATCCGGGGTTGACATTAGATGGATTTTCCTATAAATAAACCATCCATGGTATCCCCATTTATGGAACCCCCCAGCCACCCAGCAGGCTCGCCTGCCCGCAGCTTCTGCGGCGCCCTGGGCCGTTCGGCAAAGGACGGACAGGCCCGAGACGCCAGGCCCAGGCGCGAAGACCTCAACGTCACAACATCTGTGGACTTTGGGGTGCCATATGTGTATGAACGTATGAATATATATATATAAACCATTAACATATTATATATGTAATGTATATTATGTGTATATAAATAAATGTATATATATATACACATACACCAGGCATGATTGTTGTTAGAGTTTTGAAAGAAGACCATCACCTGCCCACGGCGACTGGGGTGGAGGTACAAGGCAATCAAGCGCATGTGACACGCTTCAGGTGCACAAAGGAGCGAAACCTAACTGACGTGCACAAACAAGCGCTTTTGTGGCTGCAAACCATCTAAGAACCAGCTTCTGGGCTATGTCACTGCTTGGATGGGCCATGAAGTTTGTGAACTTGTGATCGTAACTGGCTTATACCCCCCACATTTTATAGATTATGGATGATAACCCAATTACCATCAAAAATGGTTCCAAGGCCCAAGTCATGAGGCAATTTAAATTAGTTTATGGTTAAAATTTGGTTATCCTATTATCGTTTACCGCACATTTCTTGATTTAAGAGTTGGCTAGTGATGTTCATCCCATTCAATCCCATAGATATTTACCATCTGGTTATGACTAACAGTTCGCCATGGAAAGATCCACCCATTTTTAATAGGTAAACCATCTATTTCTATGGGCCATCTATACCATGGCTATGTTGGTCATAACCAGATATTTATTCAGAACGAGCTCCATGGCGCCTGCTTCCAAGGTGCTGCAAGTCAAAGACCACCAGCTGATTGATCATGAAGGTGGCACCTAGCACCTGGCCGATGGACTGTGATTGGTGCCACCTGGACCGAGGTTGGTAGTTTAATGGTGACCTAACCAACAAAAATGGTGATATAATGGGGATATAATGACAACACATCCCCTAAAATGGGAGTCAAGTTGGTTGTTTAATGGGGGGTTACATGGTTTAACAGTGATAATCATGGGGGAGTTATATATTGCATAATGTTTCTTAAATCATCACATATTTATGACGATGTAACTATGACCCAATCAATATGACCCAATAGAATAAAATCATTACATACATGTTGCCATGTACTATCCATTAATTCTTATGATCCAATATATATTGGGGAAACCATATCATAATATCTAATATCTCATAACAATGGACAATCATCATTAACACCTTCGCATCAACTAACCATTATTTACCACTACTAACCAATAATCATCATTAATCCTCCAATTTTTGGCAGTTCATATTCCCCCCCTGCAGCCGGAAGAGCGCCGTCTCTGCCACCGCGCCATTGCTCTGGAAGCCCAGGCAGAAGAGATGTCCCGTCTTCCGAAAGAGGTACGACGTTGGAGCCCAGTGCCTCAGAGGTCTGCGGCGCCTGGGATGGCACATGAGGTGTTAAAATGAGTGCCTGGGATTCTATATAAATATGTATCTATCTATGTATGTATATATAATTATAGGTCTATATATATACACAATTAACATATGAATATACATATGTATATCTATAATATCTGTATATATTGTATATATAATTACATATATACATATGTGTGTGTATAATACAAGTATGTACTTGTGCTTGTTGTTTGCCCAACTATCTAAGGTAGATTTGTCCAAACATATATCAACATATCTGCTCCGCGTTTCACTGGTGAAACTTGGTGATTGATGTGATTGCTGAAAGATTCAACCAGTAGTTCAACATATCAAGAAGGGCGGTTCAGTAGAAAATTGCAATTCTTGGCCACAAAAAATCATGAGATTTTACCACTGAACGTGCTCCCATCGATGTCTGGCGTAGAATAGCTGCCTGAAGTCCCCACCTGCCAAAACACTCGCATTGACATAGTTCCTACTGGTGAACGTATTTTTATACTAATAGATGATGAATTACTGATGGATATACTTTAGGTAAATCAATAGATAAGTATTTTGAAAGAATTTTTATACTAATACTTATACACTTTAGGTGATGGACGGAGTAATCATAGATGAATTCCCCATTCATAATGATCTGGGAAAAAAGTGTAGATGTTCCAGGTATGTCCAAACACAAATCTAAAGGAAACGTTGGCTTTTTGCAGCCAAATACAAAGGCTTCTTCAAGCCATTCCAGGATTGATCCAACTGTTGAATGGTTAGATCCTCGACACCCGCTACAGTTCAATAAATAAATTACATTCAAAAAAACAATATATAAGAAATTATAATAATATATATAACAATATGAAATGGCTATTATATATAGCAATATATATATTACTATATGAAGCTATGCTATATTATATTCAATTACATTAAACTATATATATATTATATTGTACTACTGAGATTATATATATATATATTTATATATGTGTGTCCACTCAACAACCACCCACCATGCTAAGCTATACTGGCAACATTTAGTCATCAAAGTTTGGGATTTGCATTGCAGTCATGGGAGGGTTTCTAAGTCGTCAAGGGGTTGATGGGATTGTTTATCTATCTGGTGAACTAACATAGCTATTGAAAATGGCCATTTATAGTGGATTTTCCCATTAAAAATGGTGATTTTCCATAGTTACGTTAGTTTACCAGAGGGTATCTATCTGGATGACTATTGGGAGGAATTTGCTAATGACTATCCCATGATGGGAATGACTATTGGGCATATCATTCATCTATCTATCTGGATTCGACGTTGAGCAAAATTATAATCTATATATATATATATGCATACACTTCAGTTGATCTATCTGGATTTGACATTGGCTCAAAATTATGCGTTGACGTTGAGCAAGTGCTGCGGCACTTGCTAAACAATCTTAACAAAACGATGGATAAAACACTTGGGTGGGACATCGAATTGAAACGGAGGATCGTCGAGAAGACGTGCGTGAACTGCTCTGAATAATCTCAACAAAACAATTGAGTTGCGGGTGAAATTGGAAGGAGCAATGCGTGTGCCAGTATAAATCTCAATGGGCAGGGGCCAAGCTGAATACGATAGGAACGGTATCTGCAGTTGCCCAGATGCACTGTGATGTCTTTGGAGAAACTGAAGACGATCTTCGGAAAATTCTCCAAGGACTCTCCTTCAATGACACTCCAAGGACGGTCACGTTCAAATGGATCCCCAAACCCAAATGCTTTTAAAATTTTAGCGAGTTGCCGAGAATCAACCAATGGATGGCTGGTGGTTTGGGTGGTTTGGAATCCTCCAAACCACCAACCCAAACCACTCAGTAATCAGTGCTTGGGAAGCTCAGCAACACCAAAACCTTGATATGTTTATGCTTTGTGGCTTCAAAATCACCTCGCAGCATCTCTTCTCCTCTTCTCTGAAGGGTCACCGGTCTGCTTTCAACATGTCTACTAATTGTCCCAATGTGGCAAACCTAATTTTGCCGACAATCCCTAATTTCACAATACATGGCTTTGTCGCAATCACATGACTTCGGGATACTTTGGGAATATTTATCTCCAAGTTACCACCTCACTTGACAAGACACTTCTTCATCATCCCCGTCATCCCTGTCAATTGGAAGTTCCAATTGACAAGTTCTCCAATTGTTTTTTGCCACATTCTTCTGGTTGGTGGTTTCAACCCTTCTTGAAACATATTAGTCAATGGGAATGATTATTCCCAATTGGATTCCCAACATGTGGAAAAACTACCAAGCAGATTTGGTGAGCCATCCCACATCCGTTTACTCCTGGGATCTGCCAACAGGTGCTACCGGTCAGCTGGCCGCAGCGCGTTTGGCAGTGCCCTTGGACCTGGTCAAAGGGACAGGAGGAGACATGGTTACAACGCGATATGCATGTTATATATATATATATATTGTGCGTGTGTGTGTGTGTATGTGTGCGTGTGCACGTATGTATACATATATATACATTACATTACATTACATTACATTACATTACATTACATTACATTACATTACATTACATTACATTACATTACATTACATTACATTACATACATACATATATATATATGTGTGTGATTATGTGTATATATAAATATATATCATGTATAGGTATTAATTATATGATTCTTATTCATTATTTATCACTATGTGACTATGTGTGTACATCATCAAATGGGAATGGGACAAAACTTAAGGCCCGGAGATCCCCATGCGTCACAGGGACTTTGGGATCCTTCACATGAGCTCAGCGAACGAATGTTCAACAGGCGAAGATATCGTTTGAAGTTTTCTGGGCCTTGGCGATCATGGATACCGTTGCGAATCTTCATCTTAAGATATCTTAAGTACCCTGCAAAAACGATACACAAAAGTGTTTACGATTGTTTACCCTCTGGTAAACTAAGATAGCTATTGAAAATGACCATTTATAGTGGATTTTCCCATTGAAAATGGTGATTTTCCATTGCTATGTTAGTTTACCAGAGGGTACTCGTAGTGATGGGAAAGTCTTGCTGGACCATCTTCAGAATCGATTCCCGCCCCGCCATGGCCCCACCACGCCGCACCAGATCCCGCAGCTGACGGAACAGCCCGTCCGGGAGATAGGTGAAGGTTCTCAGCTGGACGGTGCAGCGATCGGTCCGCAGCTGGGTCAAAAGAATGTGAGGAACATGTGGGAATATAAGTGAAATACGGCTTGGCCATTCGACAATTGAATCTGTATATATACAGTAAATGGAAAATATAGATCAACTTAACAAAGTGGGAGAAAACCCGTTGAAAAAATGGTTGTTCAAAAAAAACAGAAATATGGTGATTTCATCTTCCAAAGTACTCGTCATTCAAATGTTTGAAACAGCGATATGCCTGTTGGTGATACATACAGGTACCTAACAGGATCCCTTCATGCAAACTGTTATACAATGGGGGATGGTCACCAAATTCATCTTTTGCCCTGAAAAAAACCTATTCAACAAATAGGTTCAGCCAAAATGCTATCCAGTTCAAATATCTTTTTAGGAGATTGACTACACCAAAATCCCTGCAAGTCGAGAGAAACGTTGAATATCACGGGAAAAAATGGATCCATCAAAAATTGAAAAGCAATTCAAAACCCGATCGTTCGAGTGGTATTCACTTGACAGAACCGCAATGATAGGCACTCAATCACATCCAAATCATCTCCCAACGCTTGTGACCATCATGAATGTTCATCAATCTCATCTAAGTTCCCCTATTTTTTACCCTCTGGTACTCAAACATGGCTGGCTGGAAAATCCTATGTTTCTAGCGGATTTTCCAGCCATGTTTGAAATCCTATTCTATCACTATGAAATCCCAGATCAAAAGCCCATGTTACCATAGGGTCCTACAACCCACTGACTCACCTTGCTGGAACGAATATTTACTCACCCTCGCTTATCCTATCCTTCCTTCTTGCATCCCTTCCTCCAATCGAATCTCGGATTCACGCATTAATATTTTGGTAACATTCTTCGACATCCTTCTTCCCCGGAATATATCATTTGCTTAAATAACTCCCGTTCCTTTCGCACCATTTCGTCTCCCTTCAGACGAGGGGCCCCATGGGGGCCCAACTAGCGACTGAATCAGCCCATCGATGACATCACCTTTGACATCATCCTCCAATATTAGGACATTTACTGTACTCCTTCTATACCCATTTCACCATTGTAGAATTGAAAAAAAAAACACCAGTGTGAAGCAATGGTATAATACCGCCAAATATGTTCATCTCCTTTTTCCACTTTCTGAAAACCGAAAACAACAGAGGACCATTCCCCCCAAAATGAAATAGATAACCAGCCATGGGAATGCTGCTGCTGATGTGTAGTGCAATTTGTACTGCATATCGCTTTCGAAAAAAGCAAATCACCATGAACCCCCAAGAACATCCATTAACTTTCATGAAAAATTCCGATGACCATATTTGATCATGTTAAATCCCATTCAATCACCCAGTTTCTTAGTTCAATCCTTTTTAATCACCAAAAAAATCTTCGTTTTTGAGCCCAGGCACGTGCCCGAGTCCACGAAGGTGTGCCCAAAGCCCGTCAAGGAGTCGCTGCTGCCCTCAAGGGACATCTTTTTCAAGGAGACACCTTGGTGGAAACTCAGGTCGGTAGAATGGATTGTGATGGATATGGATGATGAATGATGATGAATGATGATGAATGGTGAATTTATATGTGGGATTTAACAGAAAAAACATGTTAGATATTGGTGCTTTCAGGAAGATTTTTCATGGGAGGTTCGCATGAACTGTCTGGTGACTCAACTGACTTAACCATCTAAGTCAGTGGTGGTATAGTGTACATATAAATGGACATCATTAAAGTTTAAAGTGATGGTGCCACTCAACATAATTGTGAACCCCATGGCTACAAATGCAATGGTTCAGTAATGGTTTCATCATGGTCATCAGATTCAAGGTTCCGAACATATGTCATATATTAATGGATATGAGTGGCGATATAATCGGATAAATAAATATGCAATTAATGGGATCTAAACGGGATATGATATGATCAACATGTTTTTTCTCCAAAATAACTCTAAAATGCTTCTTGCGAAGGGAAACTGATAATACACCAACGGATCTTGTTGTTTTTTCTAGATTTTTAGACAAGGATTAACTCACTATTTTAGGGGGGATAGGTACAAGTTCGATCCCAAATTTCAGTTGGTTCCAATCTCATTTCTGGGGACAACCCCCCTCACGTCTACCGTTTAAGTCCAATTTGTATTGGTTCCATCCCTCTGTTTTGGTTAAACCTTCATTGGTTCAATCAAAATGTGTAGATGAGCATCGCTCCTCTAATATGGACCCTGCATGACCCTGCCACATGAAGGGAAAAACTACCTTTGTCTTAAAATTGTTCATTCTCAGGGTTTAGATTCTCATAACCCCATATAGTTTCCCAATCTATACGCAAACAATTCAAGTCCTTTAAATTTCCAACGAATCATTACTTCATAATAGACATCATTAGAATAATGGTGCCACTCAACATAATTGTGAACCCCATGGCTACAAATGCAATGGTTCAGTAATGGTTTCATCATGGTCATCAGATTCAAGGTTCCGAACATATGTCATATATATTAATGGATATGAGTGGCGATATAATCGGATAAATAAATATACAATTAATGGGATCTAAACGGGATATGATATGATCAACATGTTTTTTCTCCAAAATAACTCTAAAATGCTTGTTGCGAAGGGAAACTGATAATACACCAACGGATCTTGTTGTTTTTTCTAGATTTTTAGACAAGGATTAACTCACTATTTTAGGGGGGATAGGTACAAGTTCGATCCCAAATTTCAGTTGGTTCCAATCTCATTTCTGGGGACAACCCCCCTCACGTCTACCGTTTAAGTCCAATTTGTATTGGTTCCATCCCTCTGTTTTGGTTAAACCTTCATTGGTTCAATCAAAATGTGTAGATGAGCATCGCTCCTCTAATATGGACCCTGCATGACCCTGCCACATGAAGGGAAAAACTACCTTTGTCTTAAAATTGTTCATTCTCAGGGTTTAGATTCTCATAACCCCATATAGTTTCCCAATCTATACGCAAACAATTCAAGTCCTTTAAATTTCCAACGAATCATTACTTCATAATAGACATCATTAGAATAATGGTGCCACTCAACATAATTGTGAACCCAATGGCTACAAATGCAATGGTTCAGTAATGGTGAACCATTGGACCATCATGGTTTTACCCTCTGGCAAACGTACATAGCTATGGAAAATCACATTTTTTATCAATTTTTAATAGGTAAATCATCTATAAATGGCCAGTTTCAATAGCTATGTTAAATTCCCAGAGGGTATAGCCAGTTTCATGGGAAAACTCACTATTTCAATGGCCATTTCCATTCCCGTGACGGCGCAAGCCCAAGCCACTGTAGAAGCGCTGGGGGCGCATTGGGGTCCAGGCCACCTGGGGGGCCACCTTTTTGGGGCCAGGCCATCGTGTACTAAGGGCCATGGTGTAGCCACTTAAGCAGTTTGGGTTAAGTATTCAGCCACCTTTATTGGGCTGGGTTTTGAATGTTTTTTTTCTGGGTTGATGGATGTAAAAAAGATGCAAAGTAGATCTAAAAAATGATCTAAATATCCAAGGGTCACTGATGTTTTGGTTGAATATCTAACCCTGATTTGGTCATTTGGAACTCATTTGACCCCCCTCAAAGTGATGACAATAGATACTTAAGCCAGTGGTAAAATGAACCAATGGGCTCCGCTGGGTGACACTATGCATATAACCACTTTAAAAACTTTGGGGGGTTATGGCTACCAGCGCGAAGGACAAACTGTTGGAAGATGTTTGAAGCATATTTCACCCGTAAAGCAACCAACAAGTTTGTTTTGGATGCTGGTGAATGTGCTATTTAAACAATAAAGTTTGGAAAGATAGCAACATAACGGGTTTACCTCCTGAAAGTTCAGGGGGTTGACCCCCAACTCCAATGTTGAAATCTTTATATAAGTATGAGATGTTGGTAACAAACTTATTTATATAGATAAACCGATCATGCCAAAGAAGTCCCTTCTTTGACACGCTTTGAAGAGGGACCCAACAATGATACTCTCCGGGAATCAAACAAAATTACATAGCTATGGAAAATGGTTCATTTTTAGATGATTATAGATGATTTTACCTTTGAAACATGTGATTGTCCATAGCTAATTATCTTAGTTTACTGGCAGTACTTTGCATGGAGGATTACGTCATTGACTTGCCGAGCCATCTATCTGTCAGCGCAAATGGATGTCCCAAAACCTCGCGGCCTCTCCCTGCAAAACAATCTGACCATAAAATACCAACCATACCTAATTTTCAGTAATTATTATATACATTAAAATGCATTTAACAACGCGATGATCAGATTTTGATAGATTTGGATAGATTGAGTACTAATTATGGGATATAGCTAGCCATGTGAAACGGTATGCCCATATAACACAATGAAAAATAGCATATAGATCTACAAAGAAAAAATGCGCCAAGCCGCGGCCGTGGAGCTGTCGTAGCCCACCGTCAGCAAACCGCCCTGGGGCGACAAACACATCGAGAAGATGTTGCCGTTCACGTGCTCGTGGTCCTACACCGCTGGGGGATTTAAGGAACTAGGCAGTTGCTTTCCTGATTTTGTTCTCTACTATAGACTGTATACCCATATGGGGCCCCATATGCTCCATGGTGCTGGAATGTTGGTGAATATTCCAGCACCATGGAGCATATGGGCTGAGTTCCTCAGGGATATTGCTTCATTCGTTTCCTCCAATTCGTAGTCCTTAATTTCACCGTTCAATTTTGAAACAAGGAAACTTGGGGATTTGGATAAACTGATAAACGTTTCCAACTGGGGACTTTCACCAAACAAGAAAATAATTGAATCTTGCAAAAGGATTGCGGGGACACGTGGGAACAAAAGGGAAGGTCCTTTTTAGTTCACAATGTTGGATGTTTGAATTCCATGTTACGAGGCTAAATCACATGTTCCACTAGCTGAATGCCAACGTTCATAGAGAAGAATTAGCGTTTTCTGGTTCAAAATCCACATATACATAACCTACATATACCTACATCCTAAATCAGCATGCTCACTTGTGGAAACCTAGAGGTCTTTTGAGCGCACATGTTCTGGTGAACTCATCACTTTTGCTGATGTTATGATGTTGGAATTCCAGATCTTGGAGTTGAAATCACAAGTGTTTTTTTGCACAACACACACAAAACATCTCATATAAAACAAAGTTAGCTTCAAGAAATCACCATGCTTGATCAAACTCCCCATCGGTTCAAACCAAACGTTGCATTTTGTCCAAGCGTTCCTCAAATTAACCATCTGTTCATCACTTATCCTTTCCCTCTTGCAATCTAATTTGTCAATGGTGTCAATGGAAATCCTCTATGTGGAGAGCATGTTTCCCATCAAAAACCGAGGCGTTAACCATCTTTTCAACCCAAAAAAAACAATTTCAATCAATTCATCATTTTGTTGTTTATGTATGGTCACATCCGCACTGAAAAGCCGCTTTGCATGTTTCAACCAACAGCTGATTGGTGATTCTGAGGGTACCTCATACGTAGTGAAAATCCCCTTTTTTGGAAAATCCTAAGGTTGTGCAGATTCCAAACCAAACTAATTCACCGTTTAACCTTTAAGGTTGAATGTTTCATTCATATTTATACCCCTCCAGTAATTTAACAATTTGCTATGGTTAAAAGGGCAAGACACATTTTAATAGGTATAAATCATAGAACTAGACTAAATCCATTTTCCATACGTAGCAGAGTGCTAAATTACCAGCGGATAATGGAAACGTATGGTGACGAAACAACTTTTAATGAATATTCATCTACACCATCTACTTCTTTCATAGGTAATCATTGGTTGAATGGTTTACAGTGAAAGAAACGAGAAAACAACGCATGTATGGTTCTGTACGCAAACAAATCCTCATCAAAAAACGACTTGGTCCTCAAGTGTCATGGTTGTTTGAACCAGCTTTGAGTTTATAATTACCATCTGGTTATTTAACATAGCCATGGAAAATCACAATTTTAAATAGGTAAACCATCTATTTCTATGGGTCATTTTCCATGGCTATGTTAAATAACCAGAGGGTAAAGGTAGCTCCGTAAAGTGTCTCCTGAAAGATCTCCTGCAAGACCGTGCTGCGCTCAGACGGGGCCAGGCCCAGAATGCCATTGGCCTGTCATGGGTTTTTCGTGGAGAAAGTGGGACAGCCCATGTGGAGGTTTACTGGAATGGGGGTACCCCAAAATGGATGGTTTATAGTGGAAAATCCTAATAAAATGATTAGAATCACTACATGTTCTCACATGGTGATTCCAAAAATGTGGTGATTAATCTAGTTTCCAATTAACCATGTGGTCATTAGATTCATCACCACATTTTTATGATCACTACATTAATAGCGTAATTAGTACTGCAAAGTTTGGCCAAAAAGTCATCTTAGAATCAATGACGACCACATCGTTAATCATTCATTATAATAATGTCAACAAGTTGTGTGGATTATATGTGGGTTTATAAATAGTCAATGAGTTGGTTGTCTTAATAACTTTTTCCTATATATCGGTTACAATCCATCAATGCGTTAGTTAGAATGATCAATAACATTTTATCTTTGCAAATACTACCCGAAAGGGGAAATAGCTGGAAGATACATATCTACTAACTGATCCAACCTGATCCAACTGACAAAATATCCATATAATATATATATATATAGATAAATAAATATCCACAATGTAAGTGCTGCAGTCGGGGCTGCGAAGGCGAGCCTTCTGTGTGACGAAGAGTCGCGTCTCCTTGGTGTGGCAGCCCATGTGCACCTGGACGGGCTGGAAGGGCCATTTACCCAGCTAGAAAATGGTGATTTTCCATGGTTATGGGACAGTTTACCAGAAGGTACCATGTAACTATGTATATTACTTATTCAAAGATATGATTCGGTGTGGTATAGTATGATTCAAATTGATTTAAGATAATGTGCCGGTCCGTATTTCTGATTGATCGGGAAATTGATGCCTATGTATGTGCCTAACTACCTATACATATATCATGTGTATTGCATGGACAGTACACCTACGCAGTTGTACCAGTACTATAGGCATGTTTTGAAGGAAAAAACATCTCAGCATGCAAACATGTATATTATATGATTGCATAACAAAAATAACACACACACACACACAGATTGCATATATATATATACGCACATGTGTAAAATATGAAACACTGGATGAAATGGGGAATAAACGACAGGAAAAGAAACCGGAACAACGGAAAACAAAAGACCAAATCATCCATGTATCTATGTAATGGTATATGATATGTGGTTACGTCTGAAAACGGAGCATACTCGCATACTCCAATGTTTTATGAATATTTCATCTTGCTCCATGTGAACTACCAAAACCTGGGATTAAAATTTAGTTTCTCTTCATTACCGGGTTTATTTACCGAACATATTTCAGATGATTCCTAGATATGGGAAAATATTCGATGGGTACATTATACGGTATATTCAATGGTTTACAGCTGGGGAAATCCTCTATAGATATTCCCCACGCATACCCTGGATCTAAGGCATGGCGAGTTCATTGGGGAAGCAAGGGCCTTCCAGTGTCATCCAACATGGCTAGAGGATTTCCCCAGCGAGAAACGCCACCATAAAAACGAGTCCAATTGCTATGTTTGATGACACCAGTACCTCCATTATATCCCATTATATCCCATGAAATCATCACTTCAATCACCATCTTTTTTTGTTTTAAATCCCACTGACATCCCATTCGGTTCCTGTTTTTTTTTTGCCCGCCTTGACCATGGGATTCTGCTGAAATTCGTCACCCAAGGAGATGAAATCGGTGAACTGGAAGCCTTTTTTGCGCAAGAAGTTCCAAGTGCTGAATTTCACGGCTTTCACAAGCCAAAATGATGATTAAAAACATCTAAAAGCATCAAACCTTTAGAGGTTTCACCAATAATTTTAATGGATTATGGAGTATGTCAAGATACCTTAACATGTGATTGTCAATGAAACATGATGTTCTATAGACATTCTATGCCCCTTTGGGCAACAAAATGGAACCAACTCTACCTGTGTTATTCTGTAGCAGGCATAAGGTTGCAAGTCTTTTACGAACAACAATCATATATGATTATAATATATGCATGTGCCAGGCAAATGTGCCACCTCTAAATCAAGCAACCGAGAGAGACATCTATGTGGTCTACTCCTGGCCACTCATAAAGCCTTACGGAAGGTGAGAACCCCACCCCCCACTAAAGGTGAAACAGGGAACCTTTAACACACACTATTCCGGGCAAGTCGCGAAATGATTCCCAAACTAGAAACACACAGTTTTAGGGATGATTCTCCCATATTCTCCCTGTGGTGACGTATGAATCTGATTGATCCCTTGGGGGCTTCCATGGCCACTGAGAGGATCTGCCAAGACACCCTCGATGGAACTTCCTTCGGTGTAGGATTGGTGATATGCACAACGCTTCTGCCTGAGGGTCTTCCGTAAGGTCTTAGACGGGGGAGGAACATGCCACGACATATGTGCTGTTCTGCATGCATATATGCAAAGGAACATGCACGTAATGTAAACATTTTCTTTGTTCTATTGAGCTATTTCACTCCCTTTCTCTCTGTATCTCTCTCTCTCTCTCATTCTCCCTCACTCTCCCTCCCTTTCTTTCTACAGGCACAAGATGTGTAAATGTTTTAATCCCAAAGCAAGAATTATTTAACCCCTTGGTTGAAAGTGTGTGTGTGTGTGCATACCCACATGTTCATTTTACATATATATATAATTACATGTGTATATATATATATGTGTGTGTGGTGTGTGTGTGACATGTCCTCTAAATGTATCCCAGTTCTTTTTCAGCTTGTTGCCGTTTCTCTTTCAGGAACCCTTTCAGAAAAGGCCTAGGGCAAAACAAATGAACATGGGATAACATGGATAAGCTTCAAACACGTCGCGCCATAGGAACTCCAAATGCTATCCCCTTTATGTATGTATATATATATATACACATATGCATACCATCATCCCAACTATCATAGACCCCGCCAAATTGGGGGTTGGAAAACTACGTTCATCTTAAAAAGAAACTATTCTCAGGGTCTATTCCTTGGGGAGGTGGTAAATGAGCCAACCTTTGGAGCCATCGTCATATCAGCCAATAGCTGATGCTCAATCCAGCAACCAAATCACCATGTGATTAATCTGATTGGATAAACTTCAATCACTCGTGCATACATATGAGTCTCCAGTTAATTTAGCCCAGAGAACAAGGATATCCAGCAGTTTCAAATCATTTTCTCCAAAATCTGGGCTTCCAATGATTCTCCAGCCATCTAAGATTACCACAGGGCACCTCAATGTTTACCAACCATTCCCCAGCCCCGGACACGCCTGCACGAATGGCAACTCTTTGAGCAGGGCGTCCATTCTGCGCTATTGGAGAGGGAGAAATCAAAGTTCGCGTCCTCAGATGTCAGCAGCTCCTACTACTTGGGCTGGACCAAAAGGGTGAATTTATCCTCTGGCTATTGAACATATGGAAAATGGCCAATTTATAGATGATTTACAATCATTTACCTATTACTGTAATGATTTTCCAAATAGCTAGGTTAAATAACCAGATGGTAATCAACAAGAATGGAGTCGGGAAAACGTCAAACACAGAAACATATGATCAAACCGGAGGGGATGTAGCAACAAATGATGGGGACAACTGGTGACCATTCTAAGTGAGGCGAAGAGCTCAACACAAAAAACAAAAGGAATCTTCGCTCCCCAAACATATCACGGCGCAGGTTCAAGTCTTGTAGAGATTTCGATGACAGTATATGTATGTATATATATATAGTGTGTGTGTGTCAGCCGTTGTCGAAACTCATTGTCTTCCCCTTGCTCCCCATAAAAGGGTATCGCTTTTGAGCAGGCCCTATCGCCACACATTGACACATGGTTTTGTACCTATGAAGATAGGAAAGGAAGAGGACGGGAAAAGGAAAGGAAGAGGAAAGGAAGAGAAAAAGTAGAGGAAATCAAGGAAGAGGAAAGAAAGAGACGATACAGAAAATAAGAAAGAAAAGGACGACAAGAAAGGAAGAGGAAAAAAATGGGAAAGAAACAGGAGTCAAGAGGGAAGCAGCCTCTCTCATTCCGGAAGATGAGAAAAAGAGGAAAGGAAAGGAGGAAAGGCTCTATCTATGGTTTGGGCTACTTTTGAAGAAATGGATCTCGCTAATGTATCGCTGATTTTGTCTCTTGCATGCACGCAACGTTGTATGAAACAGCTTCAACTGTGGACATGCACAATTATATAGGTATTGGTGGCCTGTCGCTACAAAGTGTTTGGTGCACTTTCGAGACACAGGAGAGCATTCCCTACACAAGTGGTAAGCCTGAGTTTTGACCATACCTCATATGTATATATATATATATTATTGTATATATATATATTTATATATCCTTAAATGTGTGATTAAAAAAAACATATAAATGGCTAGTTGCAGTGTTGATTCTGGAGGTCCTACTGACTTCCCACACAAAAAAAACACAAACTTGCACGCCCTCGCCCAAAATTGACCCCTGCAAGGGAAAAACACCATAGTTGAACAATAGGTTTCAGCAGGTTGGGTTTTGAAACAGCTGAAAATTGAAAACATGACATAACTTCCCAAGCAAATTTGCTGGTTCATGTCCAACTTGCATTCGTTATGTCGCCATATTTGGTGGTTTTATAAAGCATTGGAAATATATTAAAATTTTAAATATACGTAACTCCCATCATTATCTGGTTGGTGGTTTCAACCCCTCTGAAAAATATGAGTTCGTCAGTTGGGATTATTATTCTCAATATATGGAAAAATAATCCAAATGTTCCAAACCACCAACCAGTTATTAAAGCTGAACACATCACAAAATTTGAACCCAGGCGATCCCAGGCGTCTAAGTGTTGGCCACAACTTTGGCAGCCGCTACAGGTGAAAGCACAAATGGTGCTTCCTGCCGCGCGTCAGGGTCACAGACGCAGGCAAGCTGAAAAAACACGGCATCAATGATTATCAATGGGTATGTGTCGGACATATTTGGATGTGGTTAAGCCAACACAAATTCTAATCATACATCACCCTGAATGTTTTTATCATTAATAAATGTTCTTAACCTACCGCAAGGGGGAAGTTTATGGGATGCTAATCCCATCCTCATGTGGAATATATCCCATCCTTATGGGCAGCCAAAACAAATAGGCCCAACGCATCCCAATACTAAGCAAAGGGTTCTGGGGAGATATTTAGCATTAGGGGGGAACACTAGCATTAGGAGGGGATTCATGATTTTTCCCAGTTGCTCAGGAATTTTCTCAACTATGGGACTGACTTGCTTCGTCCGATTCTTATCCAAGCTCCAAGATATGGTGGACAACTGGACCTGGGATCCACCCTGGAAATCATCCCGATTTACCCCGTATGGGCTGGCATGAAATAAATCACCCAAGTTGGGGTGTAAACAAAATTGCTCACCACACATATTCTGCGTGGATCCATCATACGCCATGAAAATTCGCAGGTGCGGGTGGGTGAATCAGGAAGGGTCTTCATCATTCACTGCGTAGTATGTGTGGAATTCTTATGAAATTAGGCCATGTCAAACAAAAAAAGCACGATCTCTCCAATGTCCACAAGCAGAGTGTCGCATTCCAAACTGAATCGGATATTCTCAAATCAACTGCACAAGGAACTCTGATGTTAAACAAAGCGACTAAAAATGACCTTATCTCCTTCTAAAACCTCTCTTTACCTTTCCGACTGGACATAACTGGACAAAAACTGAAAGTGACCTCCAGCAAATGTTTTCCACATTTGGGGGTTCCTAAAATAACGGTACCCCTAAATCAATAGATAGATTTTCCATGATGAATCATCCAGCGGGGCTTCCCCATTTTATGGAAACCTCCATTTCTCCACCCGGTTTCATCGCGTCCTGTGTCCGCAATCACCGAGACGCGTTGTGGCATTGGTGTGCCTACCTCAGGCGCGCTATTGGGATGCGCGCATCCCTTTCGGGTTTAGCTCGCGGAGAAGTTGATGGCTCCGACGGGACTACCATAAAATGGATATACCACATAGCTATGTGTATAATATAATATACTATAGCATTAATTATCTATAGTATGGGACTACCATTAATTATATTATATTATATCAATAATCTGGCATAATATAGAGTATAATCATATAGTCTTATAGTATAATATAATATAATTAATATGGATATGTCAACCAGTCAACCACTAGATTAATCTACACATCTTGGATTTGAAGCAAATCTCTGACGAACTGAATCAACTATAAGCTGGAGCGGCCAAAGGTCGCGCTATATTTATACTCTCATCCAGTTTGAGCGGCTTGCCCACCCGCTTCTTGACTTAAAAACGCCAAGGTGCTAAAATATCAATGTAGTAGTACTGATATGTCGCGACGTCCCCATAGAGCCGGGCAGATTGGATGCCTGACCAGGTCAGCCGCCGGTTGCAATCAGGATCTAATGATGCTGAAACCTACAGGTGACCAGAATTGTTTGAGGTGCAAAACCTGCTGATTGGAGGCAACAAGCCATAGCAAGGGTTGCTGATCATGACCTGAACTTAGGATGGAAAGCAACAGCCATGGAAACCAGCAGGGAGTTTGAAGTTGACCTAGTGTATCCATTTGGAGGGTACTTGGCCTATTCAGCTCCTCATTCAAAGGGAATCTGAAAAACCCCTAATTACCCTCTGGTAATTTAACATAGCTATTGAAAATTGCCATTTATAGTGGATTTTCCCATTAAAAATTGTGATTTTACCATAGTTATGTTAAAAAACCAGAGGGTAGTTCCAACCAGCACCTCCAAATTTCATTTTCAGCTGAGGGGCGCTTGGTGGCATCGTAAAGCCTTCGCCCGGACGTGACATTTCCGTCCGCCCTCGGTACCGACATGTCATGGTCAAAGCATCCCCGACTCCCTGAGGACTTGTAGATCTTATAGCTTTCAAAAACATGGCTGTTCAATATGGATGTTTAATACATATGGATGTTTTTGAAAGCTTTTAATATAAGATTAAAACATGTTCAATATGGTTTTAATACGGATGTTTAATAAATATGTATTGTTTAACATGGTTTTAGATGGTTTCATAATGAATTTCATGGGATTATTATAGGATATTAAGGGATAATTACCCTCTGGTAATCAAACATGACCAGCTGAAAAATAGTTCCATGTTTTTCTTCCATTAAAAAGTATTAAAACCTTCAGGGTTTAAACCACTGAATGCTGCAATCAAGACCTTCGGTGAGTTCGGTCCAAAGCTTCACCGGGACCGATTCCTGCTTTGAAAAGAACTCGGAGCACTCGAGTTGGTTCAATGCATAAAACGAGCGGCTTCTCCTCTGCATTTGACATCCGAAATCATCAGCCCATGGCAGGATGGCGCAAAGCTTTCGGAGAACTGCTGGTTGGATCATGATCGAGGGCTGTGGCACACCCAAATGGATTTTACAGGATCAAAGTTGGCCTTAACGATTCAGATGGTGATTTAGCCTCATGTCGTGGCAGAAAATCTCTGGGGAACTTGACCGTTGATATTTCCATATATTTCCTGACTGGCTACATCTGGCTATACATCTTGTGGTGATAAGCTCCTGCCAATAGTCATCTTGGACCATCTTGGACCATCTTGGACCATCTTGGACCATCTTGGACCATCTTGGACCACTCCAAGTGAACTGTACGTGGGGTTGCCATTTAGATCTGATGCTTGGACTGGGGCGAAGTATGCATCCTTCAAGGATTCCTTTGGGCATCTTGTCGGGGAGAAGCTTCATCACGCATCAAACTTCAGTGAAACGGCCTTGAGAGCCTGACTGAGTGCCTGTCTTTTGGCGGGACTTGAGGTTCATGTGACATGGCTGTGACCCACAACCCATGATTCATGGCCTGTGCCCCTGAATTTCCTTATCATGCTGACACATTCGATACCCCAGCCGGCAGGGAACCCCACACATCCCATCTGTCCAGATCCAAAGTTCGCCTCAGGAAAATGGACGGCGCAACCTGGCGGAATGCCATGCTGTGGTGCCTCACTTCCTGACCCTTTATCCTCTGGCAAGAACACATGGCAGGCCCGAAAATGCCCGTTATGTAAATGGCTTTCCCGCTGGTGAATGGACCTACTACTGCTGAGAATATCTTTTGTATACCAGCAGGCAGGTTCCCATTTTTGCCAGATTCGGTCGAGGATTATGGTCGGAGTGGGTCCAAATGAAAAGTGGGCAGTGTGTGCAAAGTTTGATTCCTGATCGAGGTTTGTGCCCACAAATGTTGACTGACCGGTGCTGCAACACATAGCCTACTTATGAAGAAAAATGGTAAAACATGTAACAACTCCTGAGTCAAGCAAAGCAATGGTTTCGTCCCATCCAAGGTTGTTTTGTGTCCTCTGAAATGTTCAGGATGGCGATCGGGGAGATTGTGCGTCACAAGTTGGGAGTAGCTGATATTCAACAGCAAAGTCATCTGCTGCTTCAAATGGCTGGGATCGCTTCAACTCGAGACTTTGCCAGCTGCCAGTTTTCAACTGAGCAACCTGGGCACGGGGCAAGAGCCAAATGGACTTCAGTTGGGCACTGGTTGTGCACCAAATATCACCACTGACCTGTATATTACCTCCCGTTTGATTGCAACAGTCAATATAGTGGTAAATGTAATAATACCCTCTGGTAATTCAACGTAGCTATTGAAAATGACCATAGAAATAGTGGATGTTCCCATTAATAGCATGGTGGATCTTTCCAGTTCGCTATTTTGACATAACCAGAGGGTAAACCTCCATTTCCTATGGTTTTCCTATGGTTTTCCTATGGTTTTCCTATGATTTTACCACCATCTCCACTGGTAATAATAATAGTGACTTATTTTCCACGGTAATCCCATCCCCCCAATATAGTTTTCACACCTCCTAGATCGATGGTCCCAAAATGTCCCCCAAAAATATGAGTGAAAACCCCATGGCTTAAACTATTACCCTCTGGTTATGTCAAAATAGCGAACTGGAAAGATCCACCATTTTTCATGGGAAAATCCACTATTTCTATGGCCATTTTCAATAGCAAACTGTTAGTTTACCAGAGGGTAAACCATGGTTTCTCTGGGCTGTTGAGTGTTGGGGAAGGGTGTAATTGGTTTATAATGGTTTAATCATGATTAATCCCTGCAGCTGCAAATGCATCCTGGGCTCAGGACTGCATCCCACAGATCGGGGCCTCGAAACGAAAGCAAAGAACATCCCACGTGAGCACGTGTTGTTTGGGCCAAGACTTGGAGGGAATAAAATTGAAGGAAACCTTGATTTGTGTTGTTTGGCTCTCTTTGGAGCAACTCTTCATTTTCTCAAGTTGGAGGTCATAGGTAGTTTGTTCTCCGAGCCCAGGTCCGACCCTGCCCCTCGGTCCACAGGCGTGGGCGACAAGCGCCGAAATCATCAACCTAGCGTTGATCAAAACCGTGGATAAATCGGTGTACAGTTGATCAAGGTGCCAAACATTTTCAACATGTCAAGATATGGATTTGTATGAAAATATGGTACCTCTAAATCCATTGGTTAATCATCATTTCCCCTATTAAAAGTACCTTTTTGGGGGGTATACACCATTTTCAGACAGCGGGGGACCATTCCTCTGGCCAAAGTCCGATGATTCGCCGGGATCTCCCGAGCCAGGTCCGGCTGAACAAATCGGCACCGCGCCTGACGTTTGGACTTCAGCTGGGCGGCGATGGATGCCTCATCGTTTCAGCGAATGGGAACTTGCCATAGGTTCAATCTCTCTTCCCAGTTTCAATTCATTGTTTTTGTTTTTTTTTGGGGGTAAAATCTTCATTATCCCTATTGAACCACCTGCAACCATATGTTAAACATTGTTAAACATGATTATCCCATATTTTTCCATAATATCCCTATTCTGGGAGAATCATAGGGATATTCTGTAAAAATATTTGCCAAATGCTCCATGCAATATTTACCAACATTTCCCCAAAAATCTTCCACGTGTGCGTAAATATACCATACAACATGGGATGATTTTTATTACTATTTACGTAAATTATAATACCAATATGCGTAAATATATCAACTTAAATGTGCGTATATTTGCTTAATCTGGTTGGTGGTTTGAACCCCTCTTAAAAATATTAGTCAGTTGGGATGATGACATCCCAATATATTGGAAAATGTTCCAAACATTTCCAAACCACCAACCAGCCATATATTTTGATACCATACGTGGAGCATCTGGGTTAAGCAAAGTTGGGGATCTTCCGGCCACCAAAAACCGCTGAGCTCGGCGGCCACCAGTCCACTCCACAGCAACGAGCCGCGAGGGCACGGGATCTGTCCAGGGAACCCAAGGATGTGGCACCAAAAACGTGGGTTTAAACATCAAACATGCCAGTAGAATGGAACATATACACAGACATATATATATATATATAGTTACCGAATTTATTGTTATTGTTCTATTATTATTATCATTTTTCTTATTGTCTTTATTGGTACATATGGTTCTATATGGTTTATATGGTTTTATATGGTTTCATAGTATTATTATACTATATTATAATTATGGGATATACCTGACAGTTCGACAGTTCACTATGAAGATGAGGGTAAACCCGAACTGAAAGCCATGGCCCAGCTGTACTTCCATGATTTACCGTTTAAACAAGTGGTGACTTTCCATAGCTATGTTATGTTACCAGAGGGTAGTACGAAAACTGTAGCTTAAAACATCTAAAATTGAATCTGAATGGATTGATTGATTTAAGGAAATTGCATGATTAATTTGTTTAATCACAAGAAACCCTGGTTTTAGCGCCAATGTTTCCTCAACTGATTCTGGGAGGTGTTTCTTTCCCGGGGCTTCTCAGTGGGTTTGCCCCAACAGCCGGCCCAGCACAAGGTGTTGAATTTGTTTATATATTTTTATATATATATATATTTTTTTTATAATATTTATATATATATATATATACATCCTACAAATAGTGGTTCAATGACCACCTCTAGATATGGGAGACGCTTGTGGCTATCCCCCCCACCCAACAATTCCAGGTGGATAGCGAAGGTATGGGGTAATCAAGTGCAAGAGCCTGCCGGCATTGTGTGTCAGGGGTTTTCCCAAGGTAGAACCTACAAACGAATAGAGTTTCTCGAAAAATGGGGAGACGGCAGTAAATTCACCAACTTCAGATGCCGAATGATGCTGACATGCCGCCAACTTGATGCATACCCTCGATATGGTGGATCCACAGTATCTTTGTGGATTTCTCATGATTTCTCCGTATTTTAGACACGGATAGTGAGAACTCAGCCTCTCCAAAGCAAGGTGCGCCCATCTGTCAAAAAGGCACCACGGTGTCCAGGAAGCCCTGCCGGTGTGTTGCCATTCGCCAGTGCCACGGCCTGGCAGATCGACACTTAGGATTGAACAACCCCAGATACAAAAGTGGACACCTGGAAACATCATGAAATATAAGATAAATATCAGCTATAACATCCTGGAAACACTCTTCTACCTTTTGGGGGTTGCCATAATTTATCATAATTTAGACCTACAGTAGAATTTGCAACATGTTACAACTAGGATTTTGAACTAGAATGATCCATATTTACAGTTCAGCCCAAAGGGTATTGCCCTTGAAATGATCCCCAAATCAGGAGAAATCGGCTTACTATTCTGGTCAACTTGTGGGTTTGCCATCTGCCATCGTAGATGTCGGGGATGATCCATGAAGAAAGGTTCCGTCAGAAGCAAGTTTTCCAAGGTTGTTCCGCCATGAAAATATGAATTCAAGCAACAATCCTGGGCTTTCCATGATCTTGGTTCAAGGAACCTATAGATGGAGGGAAAAAAAAAATGCGCAAGGATTTCGTGAGGCATCCTCAAAAATAATGGGCTTATCTGGCCAGGTGCCTCCATTTTTGGATTTTTTGGTACGCCAGTGTCACTTGGACCACACATTTGGACCTCAGCCACCTAGATCCACTTGGACGTCCGAATACCGAACAGAGAACAGAGTTGCTGGGAACCATTTTAGACCCTATCTGCAGGCCAGAAGTGATTCTGTACTTTCTGTATCTTGTAACTCCAGGCCGGGAGCTCTGTAGTCATCGGAATCAGAGGCCCTTCACACAGAGAGGCCTGGATTCGCCTGGCTGTGGCATTTTGCGAGGCGGTGCCTCCACCAGGATGTCCAATAACTGTGATATAAATCCGCCCACACCGCTTTGGCGGTGAAGGCGTGCTTATTGGGGGGCAACAGCAACACTAAATGCTCAATGACATTTGTTAATATAGCAGTCGCTATATCAGCTTTAGCTGGGGGGGGGGGCAAAAACGGTTTCGCACCGAGACCAGAATACGGTGGTGTTTTCGACATTTTTCGAGGATTTTTGGGTGTCTGAGCGCAAGAGGGTATTGAAATGGAATTTTGGGTCATTTTGGTAGCTTTCCGGCAATGGAAAAACGGCCAAAAATGAAAAAAACATTGTACATAGCAAGATTTTGCAGGGTTTTTGGATGCCAGAGCATTGAAAACACTGCAAAAACAAGTGTTTTGGACTGACGTTATAGCAAAAAACGTGTAAATTACCGTATGCTTGACTGGAAACATTACAAAAACACTGTCAAAAGCAATGTTTTGGAAGGATTTACTGCCTTTATGGCAAAAAACGTGTAAATTACCGTCTGTTTGACTGGAAACATTGGAAAAACACTGTCAAAAACAATGTTTTGGAAGGATTTCTTATATATATGTTGGAGTTGGCTACCGGCATTGGCACATGGAAAAATTGAAGAAAACACTGTAAATAGCGGTATTTTCAACGGTTGGGGAGATAAGGGAATTGGAAGCATTGTCGAACATGATGTTTTCGACCGGTTTTATGGCGACAAAAGTGTAAAGTACCGTGCTTTGAAGGAAACCATTGCAAAAACATGGAAACACATTCAAAGAACACGGGATTTGGGGGACTATCTAGGCGTCGTTGTCTAGCTATTTGAAATTCCGCAGCTTGGAGAGCCTCCAAGGGAGGGAAAAGTGAAAATTCCATAGCTTGGGAAGCTGTCACGGCGGGGAAAAGTGAAAATTCCCTAGCTTGGGAAGCCCCCACGGGGGGGGAAAGTGAAAATTCCCTAGCTTGGGGAGCCCCCACAGGGGGGAAAAGTGAAAATTCCCTAGCTTGGAAAAGTGAAAATTCCCTAGCTTGGGGAGCCCCCACGGGGTGGAAAAGTGAAAATTCCCTAGCTTGGGGAACCCCCACGGGGGGGAAAAGTGAAAATTCCCTAGCTTGGGGAGCCCCCACGGGGGGGGAAAGTGAAAATTCTTAGCTTGGGGAGCCCCCACGGGGGAAAACCACCCTTAGCCCCTCTCACGGACCGAAATAAACCTGCGGTGTGGGGGGCCACCCCACGCGAAGCGGGGTGAATACATAACTGGTGAAACTGGTGTTTGTTTATCCTATATTTTACATAGATATACTATAGGATTGTAGGATGAGGATTAGCCACGGATCCAAGTAAGCCAGTGACCCTTGCACCCACTGGTTGGGAGACACATCTTTCAGGTCGTTTCACTTCGTGAAGCGAGGTGACAAGAAAATAAAACAAAGTCACTTTGAACTAGCCTGTGACTATATCTCCGGTTTGTTTTTTTGTTTCATTGGGTTCTTGTTATATTTGTCCTGGTTAAAATGCAGGCAACAATATTGATGGCCTTTTGATCTCCTACTCTTGATGGTTTGCTGATCCCCTAAACAAAGCGAACTGTTAGTGGGATAAAAATCCATCCAGGACCTTGAAAAACGGCATTCATGCATTCGTATCGCTAGAAGCCGCCCAGAAACAGGGGTGTTTCTACTAGAAGCATCCCCTCAAACCAATTCACAGGATACTCCGAAAAGCATCTTAAACCGCAGCCTTGAGATAGTTCAATCCAAGAATTGAAGAATACACCCCGATGGTCATGAGCAGATTCTGAAAAAAGGTGTTGGCACCATGTTGGGCACCATGTTGTATAATCATATGTTCAATCATGGTGTGAAGCAGGATGTATCAAATGAAGTTGGAAGCTTTCACCAGTCGCGTAGTTGGAACCAGTTTTCCCATGTTTTCCCCAAAGCTGTCGCTGCAGATTCCCCACCTGGTAAGCTCCTCAGCCAACTTCTCCTGGAATCCCAGGCCCAGGGGAAGTTGGCTTCCCAGCTCCAAGGTGCCATGGTGCCATGGATCAACTGGACCAACTGGACCAACCACCCATCGCTCGGCTCCTCCAAACCACTTTCTTCCAACTCCAGGAGCTCCAACAGCAGCTGGGTTGGAACCTCCACCTGTGTCAGCTCGACTCTGTGTGTGTGTTTTTTGCAGGGAAAATATGTGGATGATTGAAATAAATGGATATAAATGGAAGATGTTCCTGGTACCATTGTCATGTCCCATGGGATATTGGATGATATTGGTCGCCATTTTCGGACCAAGTCCGTCCCATGCCCCTCTCGCGCAAAGCACCTTGTCCAGTCCCATGCCCAAGCGCTGAACTACCACCTGCAGTACCTGACCAGCTGTTACTCCGTTTCAGGAAAGCTCAGGCATGGCATATCTGTAACATTGGCCCCATATCCATATTCTGGAGGCTTAACCACCAAACATGGGGTAATTCATCACCAGAAATGAGACGATTTAATCAAAGTACAGGACGGTTTTTCCAAAAGTGTGCCTGAAATTTAGACTTGCAAAAAGATCAAATAGCTCCTTAGAACCTCTGGTTTATGGTATTGGATTCTCTCGAGATAGGTTTCCTCACGGGGATTCACGGGGAAGACTGCTCTCATTGTTTCAACCAAGTCTCCAAATTCATACGGACCTGAACACATTGAATCAGGTATGGAATGGTTTGGAACACGATTTTCGTATACGCTACTTGGTGCGCGGGTAAAGGCAAACATGCTGGCGGAAAGTCAACCATCCGCAAGGGGACGCCGTTTCGGGGGAAGTCAAACAGATTGGCGTAATGTCAATCATATTTTAACAAAACACCATGTGGACACCACTTCCAACCAATCTCTCGATGTGTAAAAAATTGAAGAAAAGTGTGTGGACACCACAATGGACCAGCCCGGTACTCCCAGCCAAAGATCTGCAGGCGCTGCAACACAGATTTCCTTTCCCCCATCTAAGCCAAAAGTTTGCAACCACAAGCACAACATTTGTGTGCTATGACAGCGTGCAATTTAGCAAAAATCATGCAAAACACTGCGTAAAATCATCTTAACATGTCTGTATCCATCCCATTTGTTGCCAAATCCCATAGGGGACACCGATTCCGATCGACTTCAGCATCGACTTAACCCAAGTACCCAGTACATATCGTGATAGGTCGCCCAAACCGTGGTTTCCCCATCAAAATAGCTGGGATCCATGGATGTTCATCCCTAAAAATGCTATGAATATTTATTGATCCATAGCCATATGGCTTCGGAATACCAAGTCCCAACGCCTTGGCTGCGGCCGCTTTTGGCACCTGCGGTTCGCCATATGCCTTTTTTTACAGCCCCGCAAAAACAGGAACGTCATATCTAATTGGTGGGTACTATACATTAGTGGGAGAATAAAAGCCGGAGGTTACTAGCACAAGTTATTACAATCAATTACCAGAGTTGCTATATATATATATATTATGTGTATCATATCTATTAGTGGGATTTTACTTTTCTATCTGTCTGGTGCTTACTTTGACACCGAATGAATTACAAAATTAATTGGCTAGTTGTGATTATAATAAGACTGAATTGAAAAATATTGTATGATTATACTAAATAAATATACAAGTATGTACAAATCCTACTGGAGAGAATCTATCCAATCAGGGTCGAAGCTCTGCGAAAACGGCAGGGGCAAAAACTGACCACAAACGTCATGAATTGCAGTGGGAAGAAGAAAACTATCATGTTTCCAACATCTGAAGTCATGGACAATTTTGCGGTGTTTCCTTGAATCTTTGTGGTTCGTTGGATTGTGCCATGTCTTGTAAGTCTAAAGATTCTATCCACCATGATTTGTTGCAAAATCGCCCAGCGTGTTTTCAGAAGTTCATCCGCCTAACATTTAAACATGATTTAAACATGTGCACTCAATTGTATTTGGAGATATTGTCTAAGCAAACAGTATGCCCCAAAGGATGTTTTGGTTTGCCTTGAAAAACGCCCTGACAGAGAGTTTCTTCAACTTCTCCAGGCTCAACGTCAAACCCAGCCTGGGCCCATATTCGAGGTGTTTAAATCGCCCGTTTCTGATGGTTTCGGTGGTAAATTTCGCCGCTTTTGGTCAACTGCTTATTATCCACTGTGCAATCTTCGTAGATTTCCAAATTTGGGATTTTCCATCATGGTGGTGGTCTTGAAAATGAATCAATTTCATTGATCTTTCTGCATTTTTTTGGGGTAAAGTTGCAGTGTCTCATCATTTTCGTGGCTTAATCATTGTTGCATTCCATTAATTAATCCAGGCAAATGTCCACAACTCGAAGTTCTTGACTAATCTTGATTAAGTAATTTTGTTTCGGGTAAATCTCCAGTTCTTGATCATTGCGTGGCTTAAAATATTTTTCGCCAAAGTCCACTTAAATCTCGGCACATCTTTGATCAGTTTGGTTCATGAATTCCACCATAGTTTGATAAAGCAAGGAACATTGGTTGATACAATCCCAATATTTTATACAATCCACCAAGTTGGTATAATACAATCCCAATGTTCGTTGCTTAAATCCCTGTTTTGATGATACATCACAATATATCACAATACATTTTTTTTGATGGTTTAATCCCAATGTGTGGTTCCTCAAATCCCAAGTGCCTTCGTGAAATCACTTTAAATCCCCATTCTTGATGTCATAACCACCATGTTCCATGGTTAAATTCCATAAAATTCCATCTTTCATGGTTTAACGCACTTGTTTTTGATGGTTAACTCCCAATTCTTCATCATTTTATCCCACTTTTCATGGTTAAAACACGTTCGCCCCAACCCGGACGTTGCTCCACACTTGCAATCGTCATGATCATCATCATGATCATCATCATGATCATCATCATCATCATCATCATCATCATCATCATCATCATCATCCCCACCATCATCATCATCGCATTAAAAAAATGCCACCCCCTCTGAACAATATGTTGACTGGGGTAATAACATCAACTTTATCTTCATATCCACCTGAAGTCAGACGCGGCGCAGCGTCAGGGTTGCGGCGAACACGTTAAAACCAGCTCCCGGCACCTCATCCGGCAGCCGTTTCTGCCCAAGGAGCCGCTGCCAGTTCAAGGCCTGGCGGAGCGCCTCGCGACCTCGTTTGGGCGGTGTAAACCATGGTGGGATATGTGATATTAATAGTGGTTAATAGTGGTTAATAATAGTGGTTAATAATAGTGGTTAATAGTGGTTAATAGTGGTTAATAGTGGTTAATAGTGGTTAATAGTGGTTAATAGTGGTTAATAGTGGTTAATAGTGGTTAATAGTGGTTAATGATGGTTAATCATTGGTTATAACCTAGGATTACTGGTTGGTAATATGGTAATAATGATGGTAATGATGGTAATATGGTGATGACAGTAATAATATATGAAACATAAGATGGTAATATGATACTGGTTGGTGGTTTCAACCAACCCCTTCTGAAAAATATGAAAGTCAGTTGGGATGATATTCCCAATATATGCAAAAATAATCAAAATGTTCCAAACAATCAAAACATCAAAACATGAGGGGTTCATCAGGAACCACGAAGCATGGGAAACCTCGAGTTTGGTGATGGGTGATGGGAATACCGAAGCACTAGGTCCCAGGCAAAAGGCCCACCCTGCGGGGTTGGATAGGACTGACCTGGCGCTCCCCATGGATTTCATGGGCTTCACTCGCATTGGAGGTGAGAAATGCTGGGTTTAACATGGTTTTACCATCCAAAATGGTGACTTCACCAACCAAAATGGAGAGATGAATAGAGATATGGCGGGATATATTTCACCAACTTGATCTGATATTGGCGTTCCTTGGTTGAAAATTGGGCATCATTAATGGTATTGGTACAATGCCATATATCCCAAGAAAGGTTGCTGTGGGATCACGGGGTGAGGATCTCCGACCGATGGGTCTTCAAAACAACTTGATGAAGTCTGATGTGTGTGATGGGGAAATGGTAGTTCATCACCATCACCATCACCATCAGCATCAGCATCACCATCACCATCACCATCATCATCATCATCATCATCATCATCCTCGTCATCCTCATCCTCCTCATCCTCCCCCAAATTCACATAGACCCTGCGAAAAAAATTGGCTTTAGAAGATGAGTTTCCAGTGCCCACCTCAGCCATCGGTCCCACCACTCCAGGACGAGGCTGGCTGAATCCTCCACCGCCACCTGCGGATTTGATTGGGCTGAGATGCAAGGGAAACTGCCACGTGGCTAGCTGGAAAATCCATGAAAATCCCCTAGTAATATGATAAATATGGAGGTGATGAGAAAATCATCCCACAAATGAGGGATTCTCCATTGTCACGTGTGATTATTGCAGGGTAAATCAAGAAATCAACTGAGAAAATGTGGCTGTGATTCACCTGAAAATGGGCTGATGTTTATTTGGTAAGGGAAGTGCAGAGTGATGCCTCGGATAGATAAGTCACTAGGTCACTAAGTTGTGACTTCACTGGCACCACAGTTGTACCCAATGTTGACAATCCTGGCAGGGACACACCTCAATTACTGCCATCATCCGCCATCAAGACTTTTCCCTACCAACAGTTCAGATGGGTTTGCTATCCCCCGGCTCCGTAAAAGCACTTAAAAAAAGAGCAGGAGGCGGATATGCCCTCAAACTAGATATAGTCCTGGGACCATGACCGCGTATCCTTCCAGTTATTTTGGAGTTGTCCCCTTGGTCAACAAAATGAGTGATTTCACCCCTTTTTCAGCCTAGACCATTTCTGCAACAAATGCTGATGTGCATCCATGAGACATTTTGGTGTACCCCCTTTATATCCCTTTATGATAGTTGACATGTTTTGGAGACCCTATAGCACATAGATGTACATAGGACACCCTATGTACACCCTATGTAGCGATGTTTCTGCAGCGATTCCCATAAAATTTCACCAGCAATCATCCCAATGGGGCCAATGAATCCCAATGGTCTGCATAGCACTCCCCCCAAAAAAAAGATAAAGTTAGTGAAATCCGACCAAAATATAATCAACATATAGCTAGCCATAAATGACATGTCTATCTTTTTGGGATCTTATTTTGAAGGAAGTCCATGGTAAACATCCAAAAAAGATGTGGAAAACCCGCATGGTTTCCCCATGCAAATCCGTGCCGGACACCTCCTGAGGCAGCTCTAAGTCCTGCAAGTCCTCCGCAGCAGCTAACCTCCCAGGTTTGCATCGATGATGACCTGGGGGAAACATATAAAAATGGAGTTTAATGGGGTTTAATGGGGTTTAATGGGGTTTAATGGGGTTTGGCCATCAAAAAAGGGATTGGATTAAACAGCAAAACGCGTGATTTCCCTGGGGAAAACATATTATTAAACCCGCCTGGTTTCCCCAGGAACATGATCTACAAATCTTGAAACAAAATTTAGGGGGATATTCATGGATATTCCAGCTAGCCATGTTTGATTACCACATGGATAGAATCCGTGGGTAGCATGTTGCTTGTCCCATTGAGATTCCTATTGAACCATATTACACTACCATAAATCACGTGTTTCGTGGTCGGTTGCTATTAAATTATACAGTATCACCATCACATAACCATTCTATCACTATCAAATCCCATGAAATCACATAAAACCTCCATGTTTGGGGATTTGTTTGCTATATCTCATCCCCATTATCTCACCGTTTTGGTTGGTTAAGTCACAATTTTGGATGGTTAAACACACCAGTTTGATGCGTAACTTGTTTGTTGATGGTTTAACTCCCATGAAATCTCTATTAAATCCAATTAAATCCCATGAAGTCCCCATAAAATACCATGAAATCCATATTAAATCCCATAAAACACCATGAAAATCCCATTCAATCTCGTTAAATCCCATTAAATCCAAAGGGGGACCCCCAAAATGGCACCAACGTTCAGCCCTTCCCACCTCGAGGCTAGGACCAACTGCCGGGCGCGGAAGCAAACGATGAAGGGATCCTGGGTCCCAAGCCATTGGATTAGCATGGATTAGCTGTATGAAATGGTTCCCAGCTGGGTCAAGTACCACTATATGACTATTATATACTATTATATGCTATTATATATGTATATAGTATATATATATATACGCAAATATATATATACACAAACTATAAACCAGTTACTAACTAGTTAACTAACAAACCATGGCCCATCTAAGCATATCATCTGATGCCTTCCCCGCGGATGATCCCAAGACCAAATGCCACAAACCTGATCTAATGGGATTTAACCAACAAAAATATGGTGATTTAATGGCGATTCATGGGATATCATCGTTATATTGTGGGAATATCACGGGAATGTGATGAGGATAATGTCCCATTGAATCCCATTGAATCACATCAAAACCCATTGAATCACATTAAAACATATTAAAACTTAAAACCCATTGAATCCCATGTGTAATCCCTTCCCCTAATATTAAATGCCACCCCTTGACACCGTGGTTTGATATTGGATCATGTTGGAGTTTGGCAGGCTAAGGGGCCTAAATTGGGGAGTATGAACTATTGGGGGCAAAGGGATTCAGCATACTCCTCAATATCTCTGCATTATATAGTTCATTAATGGTTATAATTACCAAGTAGTACATATAATTAATTAACAATGGATTAACTATTCTGTAGTATCAGCAGTTTTCAGCGGTTTCCTGTCATGTATTATCATATTGATTTAGCAATATATTGTTTAATGTTCAGGTTGCAAAACGTAGGGATTGCCCCTTCTTTTCACGTATTCTTTTGGCAATCAACTGGTGGGACAGGCGAAAAGCGGCTCCAAAATTTCCGCTGTGGGGGCCAGTTGTCCACTGGAGGTGCCCTCGAAAGTAGGCAAAACACCAGAAGCCATCAGAAGCCCATGATATAAGGCCCAAGATTGCTCAAAGATGCTGAGATAGCCAACAGCTCGATGTTACCCGTCTCTTTGGGTTTTGAACAGCACCCATTCATTTCCGTTCTTTCGAAACAGTTGTCCAAGTATTTTCCGTAGATTTTCCAACGATTTTCCACAAAGACTGAGGCCCGGAACGGCCGCCACGACCCACAGCAAGCGCAGGGACAAGGGCACCGGCACGGGACTACGGTCCCAGGCCTCGAAACTCATGTTTTAACATGGCTTCACCATGAATTTTTGGATGTTTTGATTGAATTTGTGTGTGGTTTGTTCTTGTTGGGGATTTATAAGCAATTTTCAGATTGGAGATGGAGGTTCTACTGAGGAATATAGATTGGATGTTACTATCAATGAATTGATTTTGCTGAGAAACTCACAGGAAATCCCATGAACTTTAGAATGAAATATGGAGGTTTCCTGCAAACATTTCCTGTGTATACCAATTCTGGAATTTTAGCGAGAAGACATGCAACCAAAAACGCCGTCGAGGATTTTGTCCGTAAAACACGCATTTGTTAGTGAAACGGCCCAGAAAACAGGGAACACTTACGCATTTCTGGACCTTGAGGTGCCTTGAATGATACAGATGCACAGACAATCATTTGAAAAATGTGCTTTGCTGATGAAATTAAACATCTCACCTGGACGCCCACCCAGGCTAAGACTTGAAACGTTCATTACTTTTGCTTCGCATTTGCGGTAACATTGGCAACTGACCAATACCGCCCGCGGACAATTCCGAATTGGATCTACAAGTAAGTTCAGGTTCTCTACTTTCCACGTCCCAACTTCCCCAATTTCCATCACCTACTTTCCATGCCTGGAAGGCGCTCCGTTTCCTTTTTTCTTCGCAGAACTGCGCGGGTTCGTCGTTCACGTTACAGGCCAGGCCCCAAGGGTGGCAGCATGAAATCCACCGTCTCCCAGCGGACTGGGCGCTGGATGATGCCAGGCCTCTGCTTCTTAGGAGGTTTCTTCTTCTTGGAGAAGTATGGCAAAGGTATCCTGCCACAAAAAAGGGACATCATGGGACCACAGCTGCAATCTTGGAGGTCAATATATGCGGCTTTGTGACATCAAAAAACGAAAAGACATAAGTCATTGGAACCTACCAAGTTGATAAATCTGATCAATTCCTAGGCCATTGTTTCACCATATCACAAGAGCCAAGCAGCGCCATGACTGCCGGTGGGGAACCAAATCTCCAAACAAAAGTCAGGAGATGTCAGGACCATCACAAAAAACTCATGTCAGGCTGGAAGGCAACAAACCCTTCGCCAATGAATCAAACATCGCAATCGAAAACACTCTATAAATGGAGGTCTACAGCAGTGAACATCATCCAGAAATGGAGGATATTCCATTCTCATGTTTGATTACGCAAAGGATATCCAAATTCGAGACCCCACGCTTGGCGGCCAAAAAAAAAACAGGTGAATCCCCATGACAAATGGTTCCCACCTGGCAAAGATCCTATTATACCCCTATTATATTTACATTGTATATCTATGTATATCTATATTATACATATATAAATATATGTGTGTGTAAATATATGTACTTATTATACAGATACATATTATATATTCCATGGTGCAACCATGTTTGATCTTTAACCTCTGGTAATGACTAATAGTTAGTTTGCGAGCTGAAAAATCATCGAACTCAATGGGGCCAAGACTTCCATAGCAAGCTGTTAGTTTGCTGAAGTGTAAATCCCATGATATATGCCCATTAAATCATTCTATATATCTATATCTATATCTATACCTCTATATATATATATCGGAATATATATATATATATTATAGATAAAAATACATTTTAAAAAAACACATAATAGTCTATAATCATCTATTAATATCCAACTCTACCACCATCTTTGACCTTTAAACGTTTAAAGCCAGCCATTTTTCACCGCTCCTGCGGCGGTGCGGCGCGGCGATGGGATCCTCGCGCTCCGAGGGCTCCTCGGCGACCTCGCTCTCGTCACTGGAGGTCTCCGCTTCGCGCAGCTCCGCCTTGGTCCAACCTGGTCTGAAGTGGTTAATTAATAATCATAAAACATAATAATAATAGTGGTTATAATTGGCTATAATTAATAATTCTTGACTATAAATATAACCATGACCTTGGCTATAATAGTGGTTAATAATAGTCAGTTGGTTATGATAATAGTGTCGCCATATTTGGTGGTTTTATAAAGCATTGGAAATATATTAAATCTACGTAACTCCCATCATTATCTGGTTGGTGGTTTCAACCCCTCTGAAAAATATGAAAGTCAGTTGCCATTACTATTCCCAATATAATTATAGAAAAAAATGTTCCAAACCACCAACCAGTAGTGGTTGTAATTAATACCATAATAGTGGTTGATAGCCATTATCATATAATAATCAGGGTCATTAAAACCAGCTTTATTCATAACCAGCTAAACCGTTACCCTCCAGTAAATTAACATAGACCCTGCCAGATGGGGGTTGAAAGACTAGTTTTCACTATAAATTGGTCAGTTTCAGGGTCTATGTTAATTTACCTGAGGGTAATAATCAGCTATTTTGCTAATAGTTAATGCCATGGTGAATGCCCACAGGATAAAGAATGGGATGCCACGGGATCACTTGTGCAGGAACCGAAGAACAATTGGAGGTACCGACCATTAAAAAGGCCTATTTTTTGAAGCCTAAGGGAATATTACCCGGAAAATATGGCCAAAAATATGGTACTAACGTAGCTACATTTTAGGATCCTGAAATTCTCCCATTGATTATTATATACCAATGATTAACCATCATTAACCACTATTAACCATTATTAACCATTAACCATTGATGATTGCTGATGATGGGTGATGATTGGTGTCGATTGGTGATTTTAGATATTTCTAGATATAGAACAACGGCCAAGGTGATGATGGGTGATGATTTTTAGATATAGAATATATAATTAGATAGTTTTTGATGTAGAATGATATGATGAATTTTAGATATGTTTAGATATAGATGTGAGAATGAATGATATAGATAATCGATGATAATCGTTATTTTAGATATTTTATGATATAGTTAGAACGATATGATTATATCAGATGATATCAGATGATATCAAATGATATCAGATGATATTAGATGATATTAGATATGCAGAAGGGATATTTCCATGGGTCGTTCTATGTTCTTATATTTGTGTAGATTGGTTTTGAAGAGCTCTATAGCCGCTATGGATGGCTATGGTACATAGATTGTAAAGTTATTGTAAAGTGAGTTGGCCAACCAAGTCACTCCAGGATATATTTTTTTTCTGCTGAATTTTTGTGGATTTATGATTAAAACAAAACATCAAAAAAGATGGTTTAAGCAGTTTAAGCCAAAACAATAGTGATTCAATGGGAATATAATTGGTGGATAACCCAAAGAAATCATCAAATCTGAACGTTCGGCCATGGTGGGATAGCTACCCTTGAACTAAACATCGTTCCAGTGACATTGCAGTGAGGACGGTATAATTTATCCAACTGTATGTAATTATATATAGATATACAGTAGGTAAATTGTATGAAGAAGGTAGATACATAAACAATCATAAACATCTCTATATACATGTTACAGTACGTGTAATTATTATATAGATATATGAACAGGGGACACAACAACTTGTTCGTTCTCATGCGATGCGCAAATTAGGGTCGTCCCCTATCGGTAATCAAGGCTTGCGCACCCCTCAAGAAGGCTAAGGCGAAGCAAAACGAAATTATTACTACAATAATTTTGTCGGTTACTCACATCTAATTTCATAGGCCGGTATATATATATATATATGCATAGAATCTAATATAATTTAATAGGCCGGTATATGCATAGCTCGGTGCACAATTCGATCAATACTCCCAAAATCTCCCTTAAATAGTTACAATGCGGACACCTGGATATATATAATTAGCACCAATGGATACACATGGCTGTTTTGCTCAATTGGCGACCTCACCATGGGCCATTTTAATTAGGTCTTTGCTGGTGTTTTGGGGTCCAAATTTCAATAACCCCAAAATGGCTACGGGTCGATTGACCTCACAAAATGGAATGATTTCAGACCTGAAACCGACCAATCTTATGGGCCCGTTGGAAACTGTGGAGTGAATTTTGCGGCGTCCATCCTACGTATAGTCAGTGAAGATTTCAATTTCAGATCCGTTTCGGCAAGAGAACGAACCCCGATTTCAGGACTCAGGTTTCTGCATTTTTTTCCCTTAAACCAGTTCTGCGGAAATTGTGGCCTTTTGAAATGGTGATGGATAGAATTGTGGCAAACCACAGGCGCACATTGGTTTCTTAAGTTTATAAGTATCAATTAAATGATATTAAATGAACAATGAATGAAAATGAATTGACTTCACAAAAATCTAAAGGTCATCGCACCCACCGCTCGGAGTCCCGCCTGCCGCCGTCTTGTCAGGTCCTTCGGCAGCTTTCTTCCCCGTCTTTGCCAGTTTCCGGTCAGGGCGCCAAACGTGCTGCATGTAGACCAGAGAGGCCTAGGAGGCTCCACTTGGACAGTGGGAGGGTTAACCAATAAACCTGGTGGATCAAGCATCAAAAATGCAGGGCGAACGATCGTAGCAACCTTAGATATCCTGCAAAAAATGTTTCTTTTGAACAGCTTCATAGCTGATAGTGGTGTGTAGAACCAACCAACATGGGGCAATAAACCAGCAATTATCTGTATACAAATTACAAATAACAGTGACGACTATAGCCGAACGAACTCTTTATTTTGGAAGTTCCCCGGTTCCCCCTATCCTAACTATCATTCCGGTGACTTCGCAGTGTCACTGAATCATTTATCCAGATTATACCCATGATATCCATTGATATCCTCATTCGCCACCATGACCTGTTGGTGATGTCGCCATTTTTTCGCGGGGAAAATCGCATTTTTCACAGGTAATTAAATACAGGTAATAAATTAAATTTGCCTGGGTCAAAATTGGATGATTACCCCAATATTTGGATGGTTAATAATTATCAACACTTGTTTCTTACAATGACTTATATGCCCCCCCTAAGTCTTCAATAACTTGATCCCTACCCAAAGAATCCCAAATAATCCCAAATCACCAGCATGACTTTGACACACCATGGCTTGTAGAAGCCCATCTCTTCACCGGCCGTCACCGGCCGTGACCGGCCGTCACCGGCCGTGACCGGCCGTCACCGTCCCCCGCCTGCGGCATGGTGTCCAAGAGCACGTAGCGCTCCACGTTCTGCGTGGAGGCTTCAAAGATGAAGCGGTAGCCCAAGGCGCCCGGGAACCAGCCCGTGTCGCCCAGCAGAAGGGCTTGCTCGTCCGGGAAGACGAGCTTCACCTGGGGAAAGACATGGAAATACTACACCTGGGGGAAAATGGGGGTTGAAATGTGTGGAAAACCAAAAAAGGTGGTTGAAACATGTTGAAACCCATCTAAATGATTGGTTGAAACCAAACTAAATGTTTGGTTGAAACCAAACTAAATGAGATGGTTTTACGGTAATTAATGGGCTGGAAAGGAACCCCAAAGATTTCCATCATTTTTTGGGAAACCCCAAACATCCCAGCTATATTGGTGCGATCATAAGGGCACCAAGGTTTTGACCCATAGGGGAGGGTGGGGAGGGTTGGGGTTGAGTTTCTCTTTTGGCTGAAGAGAAATGAAGGCATCGTCAAGATGACAAATCCAAAAAGTCACAAAAATGGGCCCATTTCGTCAAGAGAATGGAATTACCAAACTGACATCAGCCCAGGACCTTATTGATTGGCTCCGGTTGGGATCCCCATTTTAGATGGTGAAACCACCATCGTTGTCATTGGTGGTGATCACCTCCATTCCCTACACAATGGATATACTCAACCAACAAGGGAGGTTGTACTGCCAATTAATTACACTACTGGAGGCTCGAGCCACACCAATTTTCATTAGTGCAAAGAATTCATGACACCCCCCGGACCTCCTGCAAGGCCATGCCATCATCGATGGTGAGATTGACCATAAGGTCATGACAGGCTGTGAGGTGAGCTCAAGCAACCAGTGAAGTGTTGCTCTTAATCCCCTTCAAGTTCTACGTTCCCCGATATAAACATCACCGAAAAACAGCATTAATGTAATTGATTATAATTATATATATATATTTAAAAAAAATGTTATTCACTGCTTATAAGCCATCCTCCCCCACCAACAAAAAAAAACGACTTTCGCCCGGTGACCTCCCAGCGTTTCCGCAGGTGGTCCGTCATATCGGTGGGTTGACACAGGCAGCTGCTGGGCGGCGCTGCGGCGCTCTGCTCCATGGCCGCCACGCCGCGCGCCGTGGCGCGCGCCGCCGCCGTGGGCCCCGCCACGCCGAGCCCCGCGTCCGGCGGCGGCGTGCCGCTGCGGGAGACGATGTCGGCGTAGCGGCAGACCACCACAGCCGGGTCCTGGAGGAAGTTCCGGGGTACCTGGCCATGGTAAAAAGGGTGGAGTTCACCGATAATGGTGGATTTCAATGGGTTTTTGATGGGGATTTAACTTTTTAACATGAACAAATAGATGGATTTAATGGGATTTATATATATAATAGGATTTTAATGAGAGTTCAATCGATTTCATAGGAGTATCTTAATGGATTGGTTGTGTTGGGAAGATGTTCACAAGATTTCACAAGTATAGTTCAATTAACCATCAACCAATTATGGGATTTTGGCAGGCCCAGGGCCCATATACTTAACGGATCTTAATGGATGTTAAATTGCAACCAAATTTGGCTTATAGTGCCAATATATCCGCAGAGTATGTCAATGGTAGTTGACGAACGAATGGAGAGTGCACCACCAAACATGGGATAACATTGGGATTATTGGAAGTTAAGTTTGGGACCCAAGAAATCGGGTGGGGTCGCAGAGGTTGGCAGCAAATTGGCGCGTTTCACGAGGCTTTATGGATGTTTATGGTGGATATACAGTATTGGTTGGATACATGGAATCCAAACCTAGGGGTCCTGGTTCTGGAGAATGATTTTCTGAACTTGGATATGTTTAGATATGGCAATTTTGGGATGGAAACACATTTTTGCAGACCCATGGAGCTATGTTTTTCGGAGTTAGTTTTGAGCACTGCCCAGAAGATGAGGAAAGTGATGCCAAAATAATCATTCTGACATATTCTGTCATCACTTTTCCAAGGGGCTAAGTTATTTGCACTGTTATTGTTATTGTTCTTACTATTACTAAATTGTTTATTATCTACTGCTTAACCCTGGTTTACTATTATTGCTTATTCTTACTATCAGTTTGTTTATTATCTGGTTGGTGGTTTTAACCATGTTGAAAAATATGAAAGTCAATGGGAAGGATGACATCCCATATATTATGCAAAAAAAAAAGTTCCAAACCACCAGCCAGACTATAACATTATAACCAATTATAACCATACTTAACACCCATTCAACTCACCAATTGGGTGATATCTGTGGTGCACGGGAAAGGCACGCCGTCACGGGACAACTCGAGTGAGTTGGTGATCCCCAGCAGAAATGAAGCCAGGTTTTGGTCAAGTCACCGGGAATCTGTAGGACTTTTCTACTTTTGGGATGTTGGGTCTTTATAGAAATACTACAATCATTCTATGGTAAACCAACACTTTGCTATGGAAAGATCCACAATTTTTAATAGGTAAATCAACTAGAGGTGCTCATTCTATAATCAGTCCGATGTTTCAGTCCTTATGAACTCTAGAAATCTGATAACAAACAAAAACTGCATCAAATGCCCTGCCCACCTGATTTGCCGGGAAGGTGTAGAGGTAGAAGTCACCATGGCAAAACCAAAAGAAGGGGTCCGCCGCAGTGAGGACACCTGGCAGTGTTTTTTTTTGCCTGCCGGTTCCCCCAGAAATATGAGGCATTTGGGATTCTCCCAGGTTCAAAATCATGCCAACAACAGGTTCAACAGGTTTGATGTTGGTTTGATGGGTTTGTGTTTATTCCTTCCAGTTCCCCTGGCCGCATGGGCATTTCAAAGGATGTCCCACTCCAGTGGGAAATCATGCGGACATCACCTGGTGTTCTTCAACCATTCCATTGTAGCCTGATGTTCTTAAATGTGACCATTAAAACATGCAATTTATGGTGATTTCTCAGCCTGCCATGTTTGATGACACCTGAGGGTATCCCCATTAGATCCTTTATATCCCATGAAATCACCATTCAATACCCATTGTTTCTTGCTTAAATTCCATGAAATACATGCTTTTCTTGGTCAAATCCGTGAAATCCCACTCAATCATCATGTTTTGCTGCTTGAATCCCATTAAATCATATTAAAATCACCCTTTGTTGCTTAAACCCCACCAAAACTCACCATGGTCACCATGGTTTCTCCATGGTTTTCTGACGCCACGGTCCAAGGCGCCAGGGCTCAGGGGCATCATCTGCCGCTTGGCCACGAAGTGCTTCTTCCGCGCCAGCAGCTGTTGGCGCCGCTCTTCGTCAATGGACTTCCCCGAGGGCTTCAGGGTCAGTGGAAACATACCTCGCTGCCCGGGATGGCCCGGGATGGCCCGGGGCTGGGGCCTCCTGGGGGATGGCTTCCTTAAAATCCCATGATTCGTGGTTTAAAAGGGATGTTGTATGGGATGTTTCATGGATGGCATATCCCTCAGAAATAGGGATATCATGGGGATAGACTGGGTGTAAAAGGGAGTTAGCCATGAAAATGTGGGACTTCACCAACAAACAATTTTATCAAGAATGGGTCATGGTCAAGTTGCAACAGTGCAATGGGCAAGTTCATGGGTTGATGTTGCTATGGATTCTGGTCATCCATCCCTTGCCATGGGCCTCAAAAAACAATGGTAATCCCGATGGTTTGACGACCATCTCTGTGGCAGTAGGGAGTTAGCCATGCAAGCGTGGTGGTATAACGGGATTTTGATGGGGGTCGATGAGGATACTCCCTGATAATCCAACATAGCCATGGATAATGATGGAAAGAGGCAATGTTTGACTGGTAAATCATCTTCATATGGCTCATTTTCGATGGCTACTACTATATAAATTACCAGAGGATGTCGAACCCGGAAGTTGCAGCTTCAAAATCGGATCAAACGTCCTGGGACTAAGGTGACTAACCTATTTGGGGGGCATGGAGATTTTCGATGAAGTAAACAGCAAAATTGGTGATATCACCACCAGAACTCTGTTAAGCCAAGACTCAAGAGCTTGGATTTTGGATAAATAACTATGCTGATTTCGAAAAGGGGATCACGAACCTCTTGGCAATCAACAATCACACCAATGGGTTCATAATGCGTCATCTTTAACCCGCAAAAGTTGGATTTCGAACAAGCAAGCAAGGTGTCACTTTCCAGGAGGAGCAAACTGAATCGACATGGCATGTTTTTTCCATCTGGATTCCCATCCTTGTGGGTATCCAAACTTGTTTTTGTCATATCTTGCTGAAATATCTACGCGTTTTGGTTACTTACAGCAAATGTCCGTTCATTTATGTCGCTTCATCTTGCTGTATCTCTTTGGCTGGTGATACAGCATTTTCTGGCCAAAAAAAGTGGTTTCAACCCGTTTGTAAAGCATCAATCATGGGCACAAAAGGGTGGGAATTAAATCCACATGAGAGCCACGGGCAGTCGGTCATATTGGCCGTATCATGTTGTATCCCCGTTTCATGGTGTATGCATCCCCATGTTGCACATGTGTATAAACATATAAATATATATATATACAACATTAACCAAACCCTACCTTACCAACCAAGCAAAATGTAGTTGGTTGATATCCAGAACTACCACATCTCAGTAGTTAAGTCCACATGTCTGGCAGTTAAATCTACCCTCAAGATTCAATCCACACTTCTGATGGTAACATCACCATTTCTGCTTATAAAAACCCTATTTTCAATGGTTATTCCATGTTATATATACATATAATATATATATATAATATACGTATATATATATATATGTATATATATACGTATATATATTTCTGCTTATAAAAACCCTATTTTCAATGGTTATTCCATGTTATATATACATATAATATATACACAATATACGTATATATATATGTATATATATATACATATATATATATATACATATATGTATATGCCCTGGTAAACTGACCTGGGTCTGGAAAACCTACCATTTATTAAGATCATTTTCCGAACGGGAAATTCCATGGTTTGTCCTTTTTGCTGTATGTTTACCCCAGGGTAAATCACGATTTTGGATCATTAATCCCATATAAATCCCATATAAATCCCATATAAATCCCATATTTGCGTATACCTGCCAGTTAATTCCCCCGTTTGTTCCATTATCCATGTTATCCCACCGCTTATTGCATATTTATGCATATGTTTGCAGGTTTATTCAGTGGTTCAACCCCGTTAAATCCCGTGAAATCCCGTGATTTTGCTGGTTCAAAAACCAATTATTTCCATGATTGAGTGGTGAGCCTTCCACTTGTGCCGCCGAGACACTGGATCTCAGGGCAGACTTCTTGCTGGGCTCTCTGCTGTCTCTACTATCCGACTCCTGGTTCATGGGGTCGACTTCATCTGCCACCTTGAACCAGCACCTGGGACATGGAACTTATGACCAATTCAAATAGGGATTTATGGTCACAAATTGTCATTAAGTATGGATCTAAAGTGTATATTTAACATGTAACTGATATGGATTGATAGTAATCCATAGTAATCGATGGCGGATAGTGATCGTAATTAAAAAGTACCTGGCTGATAATTCTGAAAATTTCGTGACCAATATAATAATATAGATCAATATATAATGGTATCACTATCAATCCATATTAGTTACCAAATTTCGTGACCAATTAATAGGGGCTAATCTATCAATATGGTAAAAGTAAGTACCTGCGGATTTCACGGATTTATAGGGATGAATTCAGAACAGAACTGCTTCGATGGATCTATAGCAATTCATAGGGATCGATAGGGTCGTTACTAGGGTCGTTACTACTTACCATGTCTATATGATATGGATTCAATGGATTCATTGATATGGATTGATGACTCGAAATGGGAGTTCACATGATACCAACAAACACGGTCATGCTGGGATTTAATGGGAAATCACGGGGCTTAATGGGATATAGTGGAAGATGACGTCAATATATACTTGTTGGTGGTGTCAATCCCTCTGAAAAATATTAGTCCAAACCACCAACCAGTATAGTAATGTGATTAAAAATGGATAGAATGGGACATAATGGGACATTATCCAGCAACCATGGGAATATCATTGTGACATATCATGTGATACAATGGGATATCTATATCTGGTGGTTTCAAACCCCAAAAAGGGATAAAACACCAACCAGTTGTAGACGTAGAACACCCCAAAGAATATGCCAGCTAATATATAAATTCCTTTCAAAAGCCAAGTTCCTTTCGGCCAAATAATGCATTTGGCGTGTGCTACATATCATGGAGTGATCCCATTTGGCTAACCATCCCATTTACTGGCTAGCTCGGACAATCCAGGCCATTGATGATTTGCATGCCTTGCAATCGGAGAGCCAACAACAACACATGAATGGCAATGAATGGCAATTAGTCATTTGATTGGACCTACTTATATGGGAATTGGTCAGTTTGGGTACCAGAGAGAGGAGGGTTTGTTTCATACCTTGTATTCGATGACAATTTTGGGTACCTAAAATGAAGGTACCCAACCTACATGTAAGATCATGTAAGGTGTATGTAAGACCTATGTAGTGGAGCACTACCCAAAAACGTGTTGCCTCACATGGTGCAATACCTTCATTTCAGACAATCAAAATGCCCATCTCTCCCCAACTATGGTTGCTTTAAGTTCCATTTTTAGCGGTCCTTCTCCCCGATACCAAATGCCTCCATGGTCTCCATGTGGGCCCCATCGGATCGGATCTAATACACCAGGCTTTCGATGCTTCCACGGACTTTACTCCCAATACCCATGTCCCCAAATATCACACACATTCAAGTCATTAGATTTTGATCGTTTACGTCTAAGTTAGTATCACAACCCCACCGTAATACGTAAATGTGCACATAAATATATATATATATACATACATAATACCTACAAATCTGATATAATATATATATATACCCCTTGGTGTTTTAACATAGCTATGGAAAATGACCCATTTATAGATGATGTACCTATTAAAATGGTGATTTTCCATGGCTATGTTAAATAATATATATTATAATATATTATATATCCATAGTCACCTCTCCCCAGCTCCCCATGCGCGTTCTAACCTCAGGCGCTGGTTGTTGAGCCGATCTTGTCCCGCCACCAGGCCCCAGGTGGCCTTTTCCGAGTCCAGCGCCTTGGAGTCGTCGATGCTGCAGAGGATCTTTTCCTGGAAAAAATGGCACCAAAATGGCACCAAGATTGGGAGATAGGCTGAGATAGCGGGCAAAACAAACAATCCAAGATGGTCATACCCTGCAAAAATCGGTTTATTTAGATCCATGTTTAGAGGAAAATCAATGGAAATTACATCCATCCGTCAAAATTTACCTGCCGAAGTACAATTTACCTAGACCATCTGGCGGTGGCTTTAGTCCGCTTGCAGATCTCTCAAAACATGAGCACAGCCAATTGCTGAAAACGATCTCAAATTGGGTTTCTGAACACCTCAGAGTAACACGCTGCCACAAGAAAAATTGGAAAATGATAAAGCCCTGTATGGATGGGCGTACCATGGCGTACCCGACCAACATGGCTCATATCTCATCAATTATGGTGTTCACCCGCTGGGGGAGAAAAAAAAGAAACAGGTGGGCGGCGCCGTTGGTACAACGTCTTCGTGCCATCGGTGAAAACCTGGAAGACAAACAACGTAACGATGCATAAAAGTCTACGGAGACCATTGCTGACACAAGTCGGAACACAAATATCTACGAGTACCCTGCAAAGGAAGTTGATATTTAGCCCCGTATTGTGTTCCTCCATCATGAGAGAGAAAGAATTGACCCAACCACCTCCCATTCACCAGCTGGTTTGCGCGGATGTTATCTGGGGATACTCCATTTTTACTGGATGATAATTCCTTTTTGGTCGTTCACGCCCCTATGAATCGATGATGAAGCAACCATTGGTGCGGTTCATCCCTTCTTGCAACGTGATATGTTTATTGCCAACTCCCCATCAGAAACCCGCTTTTTTCTGGCCACAATCTCGAACAAATAGTACAACATCACCTCTGGCCGCATGGATTTCCATTATTTTCCTATTAAATCATCCTTATACAAAGAGATTAGTCCAAAAATGGATTTTCATTTATGGCAATCGCAACATGATGATTAAATCCGGATTTAGGGCTACCCTACCCAATTTCCAGGTTTTTGTTCACCGTTCAGCTTTTTTCTGTCAAGCTTCGGTTCCCGCATAGAAGTATTGAAAGACCTTGTGCAGCGGATAGCAGTGGCCGTAACACACCGTGGGCACCGTGGGCAGCACCAGCGGATAGAAGGGGTTGGCGCCCTTGCTGTGGCGCCCCACGTGCTGCCCGGCCGCCAGGCCCGCGATGCCGCAGCGGCGATAGCAGCCTGGTGGCTGAAGATGTTTCAATGCTTGGGAAATATATATATATATATATATGAAAAAGATAGCTATATGGAGTACATGGATTAATCTATTATACTCTTTTATAATTGCTATAATATATGGGAAATGCTCAGGACATGGATTATATCATATTATAGCAGCTATATATATATATTCATGTCCGGTTAGTATGTGATTTACATTGATTTATATATATATATATACAACTGATAGTTGATATACCGCTTGACATTGCCACAAACAATAGGATTTCATGATGTGGTAACCATGCAACTGTTGGGAAATCAAAGGCACATAGTATTAGGTTTATGTAGCAAAAGCATGCAAAAGCATGCAAAAGCCACTGCAATCGTCAAGTGAGAATGGCATCTAGGGTTTGGTGATCTTTGCATGATGACCGTAGATACCTTGCAGTAAATGCTTGAGCAGCAATTAATCAGGAATATATTCCCGTCCATTGCGTAGAAAGGGCCAAACATAAAACCATTAACCTATCAATTCAAAGTGTACCCACCATGGTCAACAAGCATGGCAACTCCAAATTCAAATCACCAAGTTCAATAGCAGAACAATCATCTTAATCATCTACATATGTCTGTTTGAGTACGCCATGCTGGATTGGCAAAGAGCTATGGCTATGGGTCCAAACATGGACATATAGAACCAGCAATGACGGGCTTCAACGGTTCAACCAACAAACATAGCAATAGAAAAGAGACTTGACAAAGGGAGGGAAGTAATTAAAAGACCTGCAAACGTACGCAGGGAGTCCCGCTCTTAGAGCGCCAGCATTGATACTCTAAGTGGTTTGGACTAAGCAATATCAATGGTAGTGCCGCAGTGCCTATACAATGCTCCTGATTGCATAATCGGCTCACATCCAGCAAATCCAGATGATTTGGAATAATTACATCGCAGGAAATATTTAAGATGATCAGAGTCAAAAATATGGTTCTATAATGTTATATATACAGATGATTTTGGGCCACTTCGATTGCTATTTGGCCATTTAACAAGGCCCTTGAGTGGGATTGCTGGGCCGTCTATGAGATCCAATCCTTCGCCAAGCATCGCTGTACAAACGGCAGAAGGTGAGCGCTGTGGCACCACTGCTGGAATGTTTCGAAGTGATGCTTCAGACCCAAGGGCGAATCGCAACCGTTCAATGCACAACTCACCTGACAGGATGGGCCCGGCCCCAACATGCCCCAACAGTTTGCTGGGTTCGACTCATAGCGCACAGTAAACTAGAATATACGGAAATTCCCTCATTCATTTAGAATCTAATATCTAGATCATGTCCTTCGGAAGTCCTACATGTTCTGTAGCTAGGATTCTTTACCCCCGCTCCATGGTTGGAACCCGAAAGCACAGCTGTTCCAATAAGAAGATCATTCCAGGCACCATTTTGCTGGGTTCCCGATAAAAACATGGAAAAACAGAAGTTGCTGGTCTTCCCCACGGTTCCTGTCATCATCCCTATTTCATTGGTCATGTGTGTCCTTGGCACCTGCGCATGTTTTTTGGCGGCATGTCTATTGACGAAGTCCCTATTCTGAGGATGTGCGTTCTTTGTTGCTTTAAGTGCGGTTGTGCTGCTTAAAGCTCCACTTCTGTAGCTCAAGAACCCCATTTGTTCTTGCTCAGATCCGCAGTTCTTGTGGCTTTGACGCTTTCCATTCTCATACCAAAACATATATCCATCAAGTTATTTTCAACTTTTCCCAACACCAACGCACATAGCTGCCATACTATGAAATGGGCCATGGAGTTCATCAACCAGTTAGCAAATGGAATATAATTGGGACTTGGGACAGTGGTATTGGAAACATGTTAATACATTTTAAAACCCAGTTACTAACCATATATAAATATACATATATACATTATATATATACATGTAGTGTTCATCCCATGCAGCGATCACCCGATAAACCGCACCTGGGCATGGGTTAGGAAGCGCTTGGAGCCGGGTGCTTTGGAGGTCTGTCGATCTGGCCTCTCATCACTGGCCAGCGACTCCCTCGACTGCTGCCGCTGCAGGATCTGACTGGGACTTCCTAGGGGCCAGAAAGCTGGGGATCTGCTTGTCAGCCAGCGAGCTTTGTGGCAAGCCGTGTCGTATCACTGCACCAGGCAGCGGGCAAATGTAAAATTAAAAGGTTCAAAATTCAAAGGCGTGGCGTTCACTAGATGCTGGGCGGTGTCACTGTGTTCTTCACTGGGTGTTTGGAAAAGCAAGATTCGAAGATGAAAGGTGCCGTGATGTATCCAGGTAATTCCAGGTAGTGGCCAAAATGCCCTCGAGGACGTTGCGCAAACAATAAGTATGTATGTCTGTCTGTCTGTCTGTATGTCTGTCTGTCTGTCTGTATGTCTGTATGTCTGTCTGTATGTATGTCTGTATGTATGTCTGTCTGTCTGTATGCGTGCATGCATGTATGTATACGAGTAGAATATCCTGGAAAACCATACAGTTATCCCATTTTTGGGGGTATCACGGCTTTGATGATCTGGAACCACTTGTTTGAGAGTTGTTTCGGCTATGTGTTTCAACAAAATGGTGGAAAAATACAGTTTTCCTACGGGTAGGCCTGCAATGTTTTTTGTTTTGACCATTTTGGGGAGTCATTATGACTACTTGACAAAAAATGGGAGTGTCTTTAGCTTCCATATGCTTCCATTTGGTTTACTTCCGTTCGCCATTCTATCCTGATTTTGAGTGATCTTTAAGCGGGCCCACATGGAGTCAACCATTGTCCTGCTACGGATTGAAAATTTCAAACATGGAGTCGACCATCCTCTTTGTTATTTTGGAAAGACTGAACAAGAGCATGTGCCTTCTGGCAATCCAACCTCACCATTGAACACATTCTATTTCAAAATGATTTCTCAGCTGCAGCTAAGTTTCCAGTTGTTAGGCGTTAGGTTTTTTTTGCAGGTTGTATCTTCCAGGTTTCTCTGAAAATGGGCGTCCCCCAATGGGCCCTCAATCCCACTGTCACAGGATAATCATAAATCATGATCGTCATTTGCACCATTCATAGCATGCCAAGTAATGCCAAGTATTCGTTGGTTTACAAAGTCTTAAAATCCCAATTGTTGCGGGTTTTAACCCAAGATATTTGTCCTCACGTTCCCCACGTCCACACAACATCCCATGTCCAGCTGTCCAGCGACGTTGCGCCCCGCCAAACAACGAGTGCTGCGCCCCGGGGCCCACGGTGGGGCGGCCCAGCATGGGCCGCGGCGCCGGGACCTTGTCGGGCTTCTCCTGGTGTCGCACAAGAAACAACTGGGATCTCAATTGGTTCAACGAAGAAATGTTAGGATCTCTACCATGAAGAAAAAGATATGGTGCTTTTTTAGTGGCAACAAAAGCTGTTGATTCCGGGAGTTCTGTGGGCCAACAATGTTGGGATTTAACGAACAAAGTTGGGATTCACCCGACCCCACAGCACTTTTGCTGGTCACAATCCAAGCTTTCCTGTGCAAGCTGCCAAATGTTCATCGGAGAAACCAGTCAGCCTACCTGCGTTTTTCGACCCATTTTGTTGAGTTTCATAATTGTTTGGTGCTTAATATGCATCATAGTAGATCATGTTTGTAATGCCAGCGCTTCAAAAAAATATTATGGCAACCATCAACTTAGCATTATTCATCATAAACTATAAGTAACAAACAACTCCATATGAATCATATACATTAATGTACAATATAAATATAATATATAGATATATGTTATACATACACATATCCCTCACTATGATAACCATGCATCCTTACACTTAATGTAGACAATTGTATGTAGTAAGCCCCAAAAAAACAAGATAGAACATCAATCTATCATCATTTGTCACTATGCCAGTAGGTTCGAATCTGTTCGAATCTTTTTGGGTGTTCCTACCTCGGCCCCAACCAGTCCCCGTCCACCACGTCCTTCTCATCCGCCGTGGGCAACGGCAAACGCAGCATGTCCAAGGCCTCCGTGTGGAGGCCACTTGTGAGGCCGTCGCCCAACATGCCGCGCAAGATGCTGGTCAACAGCATGCCTGTCCAAGGGAGGCGTAGTAGCTTGCGTGATAATGTATGCCTATATGTTTTGTATGATGTATATGTGCGTAAATGTACAGAGTATATATATATATATATTGTGTGTGTATATCATAATATGATTCGGATATGATTATACAGATTATATTAATATATATATAATATGTGTGTGTGTGCGCATGTGTGATTTGTGTACCATTTTATGCTACCATGGTATATTGCGATAAATGTGATTTGTTTGTATAGTATTGTATTCTGATTTGATGATACCAGGGCCTCAGGGGTAGTGCGAATTGGTGATGATAAGAGATTGTATAGTGGGGATTAGTAGGAGCAAATTGACGCCGTGGATTGTAGCAATTATTGCCTAAATTGGGCCCCGGCTAAGTAGTGAGTTATGGGCTTAGCCCAATGTAAGCCCACGCATGTACACTTACCCACCTGCACAAACTATAATTCAGCATGCTCAATTGAGGCCATCTTGGGATAGTTACGCTTACATTCACAATCATTCCAGTGACGTCGCAGTGAGGTTATTACATGTTACAGAATTTCGCCGGAGACAATCCCAAGTATAGCCACATCATACTTCAATAGATTTCAATAGGTACCAGGTATGGGTCAATTTTTTTTACCCCAATCAACGGACCAAAAAATCGACGCCAGGCTGCAGTGCCGGCTGCGGTTGTGCATATCCATGCGGTGGAACTCTCGATACCAGGGCATCAGCGCTTCCTCGTAGCTCTTGCAGGATGGCTCCGGCAGGTTCTGGTAGGCACCTACGATGACCCCACCCATGCTGTCCGTTGATGGGCATGACGGGCCATGGACCATAGTCTGTCAGTTGACAGGTGATAGCAACTGGGTTTTAAGTATGCCCTTGAAATATGGCATTTTTGGAAAGCAGTTGGGTTTTAGATAGCCAAGTTGCTAAGTAGTTGTGACTCCACGGCCGCCCTGCCTGGATCAATGCTGAAGTGAAGACGCAGCACGGATTTGGCCAAGTTTAAACCACCCGACATCAAGGCCACGAAGGTGTGCATGAGATCCTTCGTCGAATTTCATCGGGGGAATCTCATGGAACCTCCCCAAAGAGATGTGTGTCATTAAGACTGGGAATAAATCATGGGAAAAATCGTGGGATTTGTCCTTCATGGAGGAGATATTCTAGTGATTATATAGTGGGAACACTATATCTCCATTAACCCACTATTCATATATATATATATATATAATTTGTTTGGGTGATTTGTTTTTGGATAATCAAGGAGATCAGGGAACAGTTGGTGAAATGATACTTTGGATCGTGAGGTTTGGTCCGTCATGAACCCCTATATCCCTATCATAAAATTCATCTTCCCTCGGGGAAACAAACAGTTGCTATAGAACATCACCATTGAAATCTGGTTGCTGGTTTTAACCATCTTGAAAAATATTGAAAAATATTGAAAAATATTAGTCAATGGGAAGGATTATCCCATATATTATGGAAAATAAAAAATGTTCCAAACCACCAACCAGAATAGCTAAATCAACAAACTACATGGCCATGGCTTCAATACTTGGTAGCAGACTGTTAAATTACCAGAGGGCAAATGTTCCCGGAAATTGGCAAATGGATGTGAATGGCCACTACACAATCCAACTGGTCAACCTAACTCACCAACGTCAGGGTCATCCAGTCCAGAAACCCACTTTTCCAACCAGGGACGCGGGTTCATTGCAACCGAAAAAGATCCTGGAATGTCATTGCGCTATAATTATCCCTACAAACCAGGGCCAAGAGTAAGAGGTGATCCTCTGCCCCTGTGAAAATACGTTACATATGGTTTATATAACTATCGTAAAATATCTAGGGGCGCAAATCATATGGACCTTTACTCGGTAGTCCCCGATGAAATTCCAATGGTTGTGTTTTGTATCACCATTTTCTGCAAACATTCCAGCTTGAAAGATCCATATGGTTTTGCCTGAAAATAGATTGCCCGCCCAAGAACCCGATGGTTTGTCATTCGTCTCCCCATTACAATGCATAAGACAACTGCAACAACTTTGAGTTGTTGGGCCAATTTTTGGACACCCCAGTAACCCAATACTTGATGGTTACCCCAAACTATTCCCCCATGAACGATGCATAAGTAACCATTTGTAATGCTTCATCCCCCATCACAATATCTGGAGGCTAATTTCCATGCAATGAGGGAAGCCCAAGACCATAAATCATAAAGCTCCTATTTTGGAGCATTCTCTGCCACCTAAAATCTCCTGTCTTGATCATATTTTGTAGGTTCAATTCCATTCAAATCTCATTAGAATCCCAATTAAATCAAGTGTGTTTTAATCATTTGATCATTAAAATCAGATTTCAAATCCCCGTTTTTGATAATTTGTCTGGCTTAAATCCCATTCAAATCCCATTGAAGCCCATTAAAATCCATTCAAATCCCATTGAATCCAATTAAAATCCATTCAAATCCCATTAAAATATATTAAAATGACATTTTTGATCTTTAATCCGATTCAACATCCCATTAAAACCGCAGTGTTTATCATTTACTCATCAAATTCCTATCAAAGATCCCTGGTGTTTGATCATGTTTGATCATTTGCTCATTAAAACCCCTTGGAATCCCCTCACTTCGCTGCCATCCAAGGCACGTACTCCTGCAACGCCGCCAGCGCCTGGCGCAGCTTGGCCGCCTCGCCCTCCGTGTGGCCGAAGGCGGGGCCGTCCGCCTTGGCTCCGCGGCCCCTCGGCGCAGCGCCTTTTTCGGTGAAGATGTACTGGCCACAGGAACCTGGGGAAAACCCCTAGGTCCTGGGAAAGGGCCATGGGGCATGGGGGGCTGGGGGCGCCATGATTTTGTCAAATATCTGGCCTGGTCAATGAAAAATCGAAAAGGATGCAGAGATTTCAAGAAGTGTTCGCATCGTGTGGATGGATGTTGGAAAACCGAAGGGTTACGAGTTGACAGCTTGGATTTGCCCCTCCTGATGCCTGAAACACCCATGGAATCCCAAGCCAGGCTGGATCAGCTTAACATGGAGTTGATGAACAATTCAATCATCATAGAATAAATTTGCATTTCATGAAAGTTCTATGCTCTGTGCAAGGCACATTTGTAGCCACTGCGAGCAGCTTTCTCCTTCTCCATCTTTCCAACACCTGGCCGCGGTGTTTGATTGGACCTTAAACATCTGAAAAGAAATGCCACAAGTAGGGGTGGACAGGACGCCGCCAGTTCCCAACAGCTACACTTCCCTTGGTTCAACCGCTGGTTCAATCCCCATTAAGTCCCCATTTGTTGATGGTTAAATCCCATTGAATCCCATTAAACCCCATGACATCACATTTTTCTTGGTGGTGAAAAACCGATTCATCATGTTTTTTTTGGGGTGGTGAAAATCTACCCTTTTTACCCTCGATGGTTCCATCCATTGCGCCTGCCAAGCCCGACTGCGTGTTGAAGGACCAGGACCTCCGCGACTCGCTCTCCTCCTCGTCCGAGTCCCCCGCCTGCGAGGCAGCACAGCTCTCCGGCCTTGATCCAGCGGCAGCTCAGAGATTGAAGTAGCAAAAATGATGAATTAAGCATGGCAAAATCAGTGATCTAATTTGTACTTGAAGTAGGACGAAAATGATTTCGGTAGAAAAACAAAAACGATGATTTTAAGTCGCAAAGATTGTGATTTAAGACGCGCACTGGTGATTCTAATGGTGACATAATGGGGATTTAATTAGTATGATGTAACCATACACAATGGCGATGAAACCATGAAAACCTGGATTTAATGGGATGTTGATGTGGGTATAATGGGTTCTATAACCAACAATATCCATATTATGGGTCTGCCTAAAAATGGGACATACCATGGTAGGGCAAAGCCTAAAAAGCACCCTCAAATAGATCCAATACGCAACTGGCACGACCGTCCCAGCATGCCCTGACATCCCTGACCTCGTGGCAGAAAATTGCGTTCCTTCATCAAAACTAAAAATAATCATCTCATCACCCTAATATTCAACATTCCATAAGTGGTTCCAATTATGGGGAAAATTCCCCACTAAACCATGGTTTCAAAGGGGGTGTTTAATATTAAGGGGGAAGGGATTATTTGTCATTTGGATTATCCAAATACCTGGATGATCTACATACACCCGTACTTGCTGGTGATGCGTTTGTACATGTGTACAGATCCCTACGGCCAAACGCCTTCTGGGTGTGAATTTGGTATAATTTGGAGCGTTAAGTACCTCAAGTTTATAATTAACATGTTTAAGATTGCAAATTTAGATGTGTAGTATATACAGTATAGATACTTGGAGTGCACGCGTAAAGGTACAAATAGAAGGAGATATGGATAAATGGGTGGATGGATAGCTATGCTTAGCTAGATAAGTTAGCAAGATAGATAAGGTATAGGTGCATCTATGGATACACCTCCCTCAAAAAAAACAACAGAAAAACATTACATATCATGACAATATCTACAACCATTCCATCGATGCTCCAAGGAGCCCATTATCCATAGTGGACATCAAAGAACCGGTCTTCATGGAGCTAGATCTGGTCGGCTTCTCAGGCTCATCCAGGTCCGAATTCCCTGCGGCTTTTTCCATGGTGATAGGATAATTAAACATGGCTAGCTGGGAAATCTCCCCTGTAAAATCCTGTACATGGAGATGGCTAGATGGGAAATTCATGCATAAATCGGGGATTCTCCATTGCCATGGTTGACTGGGAGGATATACCATGGATATGTGGTAGGAACTGATTGGATTTGACTATCCAAAATGTGTTGTTTTTCCTTGGAAATTCTCTTCCGTCATGGCTGGGAATATGGGTGCGATTATGTGTGAAATTCTCTTTATGGCCTAGCAATGCCAATGCTTAACCAAACGACACGGATCAACATGGGTCAGCGCTTAACCACGTATAACCGTATAACAATACTTAAGCGCAAAATGGAGCCCTGCCCACCAACCTTATGGAAATGCTGATCATGGAGAACCTTGGCCACCTTCCCCACCCTGAAAACATTTAGGATATATAACATATATTAAAATATATAACATGCATTGTATTAAAGAGAACACATGAGAACACCAAAAAATGAGACTTGGCCAGACATTCGCCATCTTTACCAGCAAAGTGAGCACTCCGTATCCAACTGCTTCCTCCGGCCTTCCATTTGCGAACTTTGCTTGCTGTCCAGCCGTCCTCCGGTCCCCTTTTGCTTCTCGCTGGGAATGTAGCCATCCGGTCCATGAAGGTGACAGAGAAAGGCCACGTACTTCGAAGACAGGAAAGGCGACAAGAAAGCTGCCTGGCTCACCAACCCAAACAACTGGTCAAAATAGGAGTTGAAGGGTTGAACGGATCCAAGCAACTGGCTGAAAGGTGTTTGTTTTTGGATATTTTTGGGATGTCTCACCAAGATCACCTTGTGAGATCGCAAACGATTGGATAACAAGCATGGCAGCATGCCCATCAACTGCCTATTTCAATCTTGCAAGCCCCAGTAGTATGGGAATTGGCGGGAAGCTTGCAGGAATGAGGGGTTCCGGGCTTCCGTCCTTGGGCTGAAAATTGAAATAGCTCATGATTTTGAGGCATAGCAATACACATCAACAGTTTGAAGTCCGAAATTTGACATGGGTTGCTCGTCCTGATCGCCATACAAAAAAACATCGAAACATCGAACCCAAAGCCCATAACTTTGGAAGTCCATGTTAAATGCATGGGGCCAAAGCCTGAAACGGCCCTGCCTGGGTGTGCGGCATGGGAACCCCAATCTCGCAAATCTGCAAGCCATTCCAGCAAAACCAAGGCTGATGACCGTCGCCCGCGCCTGGGTCTTTTGAAAAATCAAGAGCACCAGGATGTCAACCTCTACCTAGTCCCTCAAGCTACCCAACCAAATGGATAAAACTAGGTTCAATAACTACTGTAATCACTCTAAATTCCCGGAAATGGTTGGTAATTCAATGTATTTCATGGGTAAATTGAGTGCCTAGTCATTTAACATTGTACTTTATACACGATACCATACTAACATCCATAATTATTCCAAATTTAACTGAATTCCATCTGTATGTATGTTTGAGATAAACATTGACATCTATAGTTTCATTCTTGAAAACCGGTTGCTTAATGTTTTTTACATGGCACATTTAGCCACAGCTGCCATACCTAATTTCATACTGCTCTGTGGAAAAATACTGTGTTCACCACATGGATTTGGCGCCGGGGCCGCGTGATATGAACTTCCATCGTTGTAGCTAGATACATCACCATTTTTGACGATAAAATCACCACATATGTTGCCTAAACCATACCAAATCCCGTTGCTTCCCTATGATCTTCCCATCAGTGGTTCGATCCCATTAAATCAGCATTAAATCCCATTCAACCCAGCTAAAACATCTGCCAAACAAAAATTCGCCCGTGATGTCCGATCCTCCCGCAACGTCACAATCTCCAGGGCACCAGTACAGCCCAGTGAACACGAGTAGGTGTAGAGCCGGGTGGCCAGTTCCACCTGGCAGCCGCACTTGTTGTCCTCGCAGAAGCGCGAGATGTAACCTGGCAGAAATCAGTGGGAACCGATGAAATACAGTCGAAAAATCATGGTGGATATAAAAGAGTTGGTGTCCCAGTTCACCAAGTGAACCTTTTTTTTTAATTTGTTGTTTGTGATTGAATAACTATAGTTAGATGGCTTAATGAACACACTTATAACTAGGGGGCACCACCTTGTAGGAATTCACAGTGCGCAGATGTTTTTAAGAAACAATGGGCAATGGCCAATATCCCCCTGTTGCAGAGACAAAACTAAAACAATCCATGTATTAGTAATGATTGTATATCATGTGGTTGGGAAATTCAATTCGTAGCTCCTTTGCTCCCTCTAATGGTAACCCAGGATTAGCAAGACCCTAGCTGCCCTAGCTTACCAACAGAGGGGGTGCCATTGTTCATAACAACTTGTATTTTCCAGGGTAATGCCCCCAAATAAACAAACGGAGTTGATTCGTCTGGAGTTGATATTAACCACCCGAAAATTGTTTGCAATTATGTGGTTTATCAATAGGTAGGTCCAAATCTCTCCAAAGTCAGGTTCCATTCACGTCGGGCAGCCGGAATGGGAGCGCCCGAAGGGTTCAGCCAGTGGGCATCAGATCATATTATTTGCTGATGAATATGCCGCTTCACTTTTGTTTGTACCATCATCTTTGTTAGCATCTAAAATCCCATAGGTTGAGCGTGACCTCCCTATACACCTTGGCAATTTAACATAGACACGGAACATGACCCACCGGTAGATGATTTTTCTTATGCTAGCTTCATGGCAAGTTTCCGTGGCCAGGTTAGTTACAACAGCGTAATTCAACGAATTTGTGATTTAACCATAAAGTGGGGGTTGACTGGATTGGTTGGCTAAACCACCAACTGGCTAACAATGGTGAACCACTTTGGTAAAATATCCAAAGTATTCCAAAGTGATAACCAAGTGAATTGGTTAAGGTTCACCTTGCCGAGAACAGTTAGGTGGATCTTCTCCAGGTGAAGAATCTCTATATCCTGGTTGGTGGTTTCAACCCCACTGAAAACTATAATATCCTCAGTTGGGATTATATGGAAAAACATATATGGAAAACATATGTTCTCAATATATGGAAAAATGTTCCGAACCAACCATATATATATATATATCATGTGTGCGTGGTATTATTTGAATATTGAAGTCTGATATATCACTGATAGATACTAGAAAGAGCTCATTATCAGCATCAAGATATTTGCTGGCTTAGCCGCTATTCAGTATAACCTTGCTATTACCATCAGGATACATGATTTAATATAATGAAATCTGATAGCTGTTAAATCCTGATGGTGGTTCAAATGTATGATATCACATATCTAAGAAATAACACATATTGTAACCAAGCATTCTGACAAACCACAGTTAGTATGATATATGTAATTCGCGAGTTGTTTTGAAAATATTGCTCATGATATGTTTCAATACTTATCCCATACAAGTATTCATACCGCCAATGAAAACTAACAATAGTATAATATAATAATATACAATAATAATTAGCAACAATGATAATGATAATTCGAAAATGATTTAGACTATACTGCTGCTGCTGCTGCAACAACAACAACAACACCACCACCACCACGACTACTACTACTACTACTACTTACTACTTACTACTTACTACTTACTACTTACTACTTACTACTTACTACTTACTACTTACTACTTACTACTTACTACTTACTACTTACTACTTCCTACTTCCTACTTACTACTTACTATTACTACTTACTACTTACTACTTACTACTACTTACTACTACTACTTACTACTACTACTTACTACTACTACTTACTACTACTACTTACTACTACTACTTACTACTA